TGAGACGGGTGCAGTGTGCCCATTGGAGAACCTGAGAACGGACAGAGTCAGGAACAAACAAAGATCCAGGGGGGCCTGTCCCAGGATCAGGATGAGTCTGTTGAGCAAGACTGACTTGCGACTCAATTTCCCAAGTAACAGAAGCCACAATGCGGGAGGGGTGCAGAATTGGGTCACTAACCGGAGTTTGGGTATCTGCACAAAACACTCGAGACAAGGCATCAGGTTTCATATTTTTAGAACCAGGGCGAAAGGTCAGAGAAAAGTCAAAACGATCAAAAAAAAGGGCCCACCTGGCTTGCCTGGAGTTCAGACGCTTGGCGGTCTGGATGTATGTCAAGTTCTTGTGATCTGACCAAACAATGAAGGGATGAACTGCACCCTCGAGCCAGTGACGCCACTCCTCCAGAGCGAGTTTGATGGCCAGGAGCTCACGGTTGCCGATGTCATAGTTTCTCTCTGCGGATGAAAGCTTGCGAGAAAAATAAGCACAAGGATGCAACTTATGATCGGTAGGAGACCGTTGAGAGAGCACGGCCCCGACCCCCAAATCAGAGGCGTCAACTTCCACAACAAACTGTAACCCAGGATCGGGCTGGATGAGTACAGGGGCAGAGGTGAAGCGATGCTTTAACTCCATGAACGCTGATTCAGCCTCAGATGTCCACGAAAAGGGGGTAGAAGTAGAGGTAAGGGCAGTTAGGGGGGCAGCAATGCGGCTGAAATTGCGAATGAACCTCCTGTAGAAATTAGCGAATCCTAGGAAACGTTGTACCTCTTTGCGACTGGAGGGGTTAGGCCATTCCCGGACTGCAGTAAGCTTTTCAGGATCCATTTGAACTTGGCCTTGAGAGATTATGTACCCTAAAAAAGAAACAGAAGAAGCATGGAACTGACACTTTTCTGCCTTGACAAAGAGCTTGTTTTCCAAAAGTCTTTGTAGCACCTTACGGACGTGAATCTTGTGGGTCTCAAGGTCCTTGGAAAAAATCAAAATATCATCAATGTAAACGAAAACATATCTCCCAATCATATCCCTTAGGACATCATTAACCAAGCCCTGGAAGACGGCAGGAGCATTAGTGAGACCGAATGGCATGACAAGGTATTCGAAATGGCCGAGTGGCGTATTAAAAGCGGTCTTCCACTCATCCCCCTCTCTAATACGCACAAGATGATACGCATTGCGCAAATCCAATTTCGTGAAAATAGTGGAGCCACAGAGAGGGGTAAAAGCCGAACTGATCAAAGGGAGCGGGTACTTATTCTTCACCGTGATCTTATTAAGACCCCGAAAGTCAATGCAGGGCCTGAGTGACTTGTCCTTCTTGTCAACGAAGAAAAAACCAGCACCCACCGGTGAGGAGGACGGTCTAATTATACCGGCAGCCAGAGACTCTTGGATGTACCTCTCCATAGCTTCGGTTTCCGGGCGTGAGAGGTTATACAGACGACTGCTAGGCAAGGGAGCCCCCCGGGAGCAGATCAATGGCGCAATCATAGGGCCGATGGGGTGGCAGCGACAGGGCATGTTGTTTGCTGAACACCGCCCCAAGGTCATGATAGGCAGGCGGAACAGCAGAGAGGTCCGGCGGTTCTAGGACAGGAGCAGACTCAGAACAACCCGGAGGCAAGGCTGACTGTAAACAATGGGAATGACAAAAAGTACTCCAAGTTATTACCCTCCCAGCGGCCCAATCTATATGCGGATTATGCAACATTAACCAAGGTAAGCCTAACACAAGAGGCGAGTGGTTGCAATCAAAGACATGAAACGAAATAAATTCCTTGTGATTGCCCGAAATATGTAGGAGGACTGGGAGAGTACGCTCCGTGACTTTAGCTAGTAGTTGTCCGTTAAGTGCTTTAGCCTCCAGCGGAGTGCCCAGAGTCTCAGTCTTAATTCCAAGCTGGTGAATAACTTCACGATCCAAAAAATTCTCATCAGCCCCTGAATCAATTAGTACTGGCATAGTCAAGGTCTGATCTTGTAAAACGAGAGTCGCCTGAAAACATGGCTTAGTAGGAGATGTACAGTTTGTTCGGCTCAGCAGTACATCTCCCACTACTGCGGAGCCGGCCCTTTTACTGGCCGCAGAGGACAGGAAGATAGGAAGTGTCCCAACTGACCGCAATAAAAACAGCTCCTGGTGTTCAGACGGCGTTGTCTCTCCTCTGGATCAACACTGGCGCGGCCAAGCTGCATGGGTTCAGGAGCAGAAGTAGACTGGACAGGAGCCGATGGTACTGCAGGAAAAACTGGTGGAAGAGGAGAGTTACGAGATCCTACCAGAGGAGTCTTACCGGCCTTCTCCCGACGACGCTCCCTGAGGCGGTTGTCCACTCTAATGACTGAATCAATTAGTTCCTCTAAGGTGCTAGGAATGTCCCGAGAAACCATTTCATCCTTGAGTGTGTCAGACAGGGAGTTTAAAAACGCTCCATGGAGAGCCTCGTCATTCCAGCCACTCTCTGCAGCAAGTGTACGAAATTCAATGGCAAATTCTGCTACACTGCGGTTTCCTTGGCGCAGAGTAAAAAGTCTTTTAGCGGCCTCTTTTCCACTGACAGGGTGATCAAAAATTTGTCTCATAGCAGCAATAAACTCATGGTAAGAAAAGCAAATCTGGCCCTGTTTCTCCCACACAGCTGAAGCCCAATTAAGTGCATGGCCACGGAGACAACCAATTAAATAGGAAATCTTGGCCCGGTCGCTTGAATAACTTAAAGGTTGTTGTTCGAAAATCAAGGAGCACTGGGTTAAGAAGGACTTACAGGATCCCAGGTCCCCATTGTATGGTGCTGGAGGTGGAACAAACACTTCTCTTGTTGGGAGCGGCTGGGCATGGGACGAGCCAGGAGTCGGAGCAGAACGGCCATCGGCAGAGGCATTAATTACTTGAGTACGTAGGCTTGCGAGGCTAACAGAAAACTCCTTCATATGCTCCATCAGGGCCTTTAGGGTGTTGTCATGCTGCTCCAGAAGAGACATTTGAGCAGCGACGGTCTGGTTGAGTGGGTCTGAGTCTGCTGGGTTCATTCTGGCCAGATCGTACTGTCACGTCGTGGCAAAGAACCCAGATGCAGACCAGGGCGGTGTAACAAAAAACTTTACTAAAGCCAAAATACAAAAAAAACAAATCACAAGGCAGGAACCAGATCTGGATCGGAACAAGAGCCGGGCGTGGCCGAGCGGAGATTGTAACTGAGATTACGATCTGGCGTCGAGGAGCTGGCTTCAGAGGCACTTGTATCCACTTGATTGAGGAGTGGAGGCAGCTGGGCAGAGTCTGTGGCTGCTCCCGCACACCTGTCCCTGCTCAGGGAACAGGTAGGGGAGGGGGATGAGGCAGAGCCTCCAGAAGAATCAGGGGAGGGAGGGGTTGCTGGAGGAGCAGACCTGACATGATGTAATGAGTTCAGTTGGATATGACTGGTCTTGCTGATAGTGGTAATACTGAGGGCCAGTTTAGTAAGAAAGTAATGTTTATTTACTGTATATAGCACATTTTACAGACCAAGGTCACCCAACTCGCTTTACAATGTTCAGAATGATAAGGAATGGAATGATTGATGGTAATAGTTGCAAATAGAGTGTGAAAACAAGTTCAGGGAAGAGGGAGACAAAATGGGGACAATCGCAAAAACAGTGAAAATAAACACTTAAAAGGGTAGAAGGCAACACAATGATAAAATGATAATACTCATACATATAGTAAAAATATAGTTTTAGAGTAGAGGGAAGGGGTAGGTGTGAGTCGGGGGGTGTTATTTGATGTGGGGGTGGTCATGTGTTTTGTGTATCGTCAGTGCTTGTGTGAGAGGGTTAGGCTCTCAAGAGACAAGTAATTAACCAGTCAGAAAACATAAGAGTGTGGGTTTGATGGAGAGGGGTTTTATGTTGGTATGAGAAGTTGAGAGTGAGATGGTCTAGGTCAGGAGGAGATTATTCCATTGGTTGATGGTTTTTTTGTGTCTTGTTTTCCAGTTTATGAAGATTGTTTTCTTGGCGATGGCTAGGGCAGCAAGGAGAGTATTTTGGTCGTTTGGAGTGAGATTTATTGTAGAGGTATGAGCGAGTGTGCATGGAATGGGGGTACAGGGGATGTGCCAGTCAAATATGGGGGATAGGATGACCTTCTCCCAAAAGTTGTAAACGTGGGTGCAGTCCCAGAAGGCGTGGCTGTATGTGTCCGGGGTGATTTGTGTGCAGTTAGTACAGTTAGCTGAGGTGAATCCCATTTTTGATCATCTGTGCCCAGTGTAGTGTGTTCTATGAAAATGTTTGTATTGAATGAGTTGTAGATTGGTGTTATTTGTCATGGAGAACATGTTGTGGCAGATTTGTGTCCAGAAGGCGGGATCGGGAGGAACCATGAGGTTCTTTTGTCGATTGGGATGGGGCAGGTTGTGTCAGAAAATGTGATAATTTGGTAGGTTTTGGTGAGGCGTTTTATTGGTTTTAGGTTGAGGAGAGTGGTAATTGGTTGTGGGAGGCTGAGGTCTGCAAATGTATTGTACTGTATGTTGTTGAAACAGATGCTTGTAGTTGTAAATATTGTAAAAACTAGTTCCTCCCTATACCGTGTTCCAAAGAGAGATGGTAAAAAGATGCAATTGTATTGTTGCGAATGATGAGTTGTAGATGTGTGATGCCTTTATCTGACCATGGGGGGAAGTGGAGTGGGTTTTTGTTGCTCAGGATGTCAGGGCTATTCTAGATCGGTGTGTGAGTGGAAGGGCCAAGGGTTGAGTTTTGTGGAATTTCCACCAGGCCGTCAAGGCTGATGATATTGTGTGTTTGAAGCATGGATTTTATTTGATGGATTGGTTGAGAAAGGGATGTGTGGTGAGTACCAGTCAAGATGGTGGTGTGAATAGTCCGCAGCAACATTTGATTTAAAAAAATATACGGTCTATACGGTTCATTCGTTTTACGAGGATTATAAAAGGGGTACGAGAGGAAACCCAGGAAAAGCCGAAGAAGACAGTCTCTGAGAATGGAAGAAAACATCGAAGATGACGAGATGGCTAATAGCAATAGTCATGAAGACGAGAACAGCGATCCAGAGGAGGACAAGTTGTCTCTTATATTCAGAGAAATCCAAGAACTCCGGGAAGACAATAAAGAGCAATTGGGCGAAATAAAAAGGGACAATGTGAAGATAAACTCGAGAGTGGATGAAACTGAAAGACTTGCAACTGCTGAAGCCCGGGTACAAGGAGCCGAGGATGTGCTAGCAGAAGTGGTGAAGCAGCATGAGCAGCTAAAGCTAAAGGGTGGGATCTGAAGGGGCGCTCCCGTAGAGACAATGTGAGAATTTACAGGATACCGGAAGGTGAAGAGGGGTCTCCGACTCCAGATGTAACACTGTTTGTTGAGCGTTTGTTACGGGAGAATCTGGGATTTCCTGCTGACAAAGATCTGTTAATGGAGAGAGCGCATGGTGCATTAACGCCACGGCCTCCTGCGGGGAGTCAGCCTAGGTCAATAATCGTCAAATTTCGAAGTTACAGGGTCAAAGACGAAGTGTTGAGGGCATCAAAATCAACCTGGATCATGATTATGCGCCAGATGTGCTGGCGAAACAAAAGGAATACGGAGAGATAAGGAAGATCCTCAAGGCTAACAACATACGATTTCAAACGCTGTTTTCAGCCCGACTGAAAGTTTTCTGAAGGATGAGACAAAAGTATATGATTCTGTGGAGGACGCCTCGTAGGCTCTTGCAGACATGGGGCTGCCAGTAACGAGAGTAACACCACCGGAGTCTCTCCTGAATAAACTTCAACAATACACCTGGACGCCGGCCCCACGTCGCAAAACGGGATATAAAGAAAAGCTGCAAGAGTTCAGACGGGATAGGACAGGGAACACGAGCACATGAGAGGAAGAAGGAGGTATGGAACAGTTGAGAAGATGGAAAAGTGTGGATCTGGGTGCTAAAGTTGAACTATGTAACATGTTGCGGACTGGAAAAGGAGAAATGACTGGTTTAGAGGGCCCTCAATGCCTTAAAGGCTTAGGAGGACATCCCTCAACAACGAGGTCCGATAGGCCAAGGACCTCAGTTATGGACGTGGAATTGACCGTTCTTAACTCTACTATTCTGATTTTTTTTCTGTTTATTACTTGTTATTATGTTTGTTTTGTTCAAAGGAGTAGCTGTACAAGAATTAATGAGTAGGCGATAAACACAAGGACAATATGCACAGGGATATGTTAAGTTGTATTTCTTTTAATGTTAATGGGGTATTAAATCCAATTAGGCGGACTAAAATCTTGACAAAACTTAATCACTTGGCATCACTTGGATTATTTGCATTTTAAGTTTTGAGGTCTTTAATTCTTTGTTCTAATTCCATTTCTTGTTGAGCTTCTTGTTTCTTTTTGTAAGAGGAGTATGAGATGATTATGCCTCTAGTAATGTACATTCTGTTACATCTTTGTTCGTGCTCATCTACCATCGACAATAAAACACGTCTTCTGTCTGACTTAAAGACACAATCCCCAGACTTTGTCATTTTCTTCAGTAATTAACCTATTTTTGAATTCATTTTTAAAATAAATGTGGAAAACGCTTTATCAAATAAATTGGAAATCATGCTGTCAATTTGTGACCCCACCCTATTTATAGGAGGAATTTCTCCATCCACCGGCCACAAAACAATGGCATATGTGTCATATGCCAGTGTTCTAGTGTCAAAGAAATCTTCTTTAGAACAACTTGAGAAATTGACATTGGAACGTTGTTTAAGTTATAATTTTAATGAGTCATATTTGGCTGATATTTATATTGTATACCGAAAGGTTGTATTGTAATTCACTTTGGCTCCTTAAGAAGATTCTCAAGAAAATGGTGAATGAGGCCCATTGTCTGCAGTTCTGACGCCGGCAGGAGCTCTCTGCTCCTGACTAAGGTGCCATAGAGGTGAATTCAATTCAATTCAAATTATTCTTGTATAGCCCTAAATCACATCATCTCAGAGGACTTCACAAACCCGTTGAAATCGCCAAGACAGATCAGAGAATCGAACAGTTAAAACACAAAAATATAGAACACAGAGGTATTGGTCCAAAGGGAGAGACCAATGCCCATGAATGTTGATAAATGTCCATAAATCCATCCATCCATCCATTTTCTTCCCCTTAATCCATTTCTGGGTCGGGGGTTTGACAGTCAGAGCTGCACCCAGTACACAGAGCACCAGCCCCTCACTGATCCTCCTGCAGGAGCTGAGATCTTTCAGCGGGGGCTTCAGGAAAAGTGGGGTTAAGTGTCTTGCCCAAGGACACACCGACATCAGTCACCAGTGGGAGTCGTGAAGTAGGTCTTACGGTGGGCTCGAACCCACGACCTTCAGGCTCAAAGGGCCATGCTCTATCAACTGCGCCACTGTCGCCCATAAATGTCCATAAATGTTGTAGAATATTACAGTGTCATGGATCATCACCACAGTCAGACCCTCCTGCATCAGCAAGGAAAAACTCTAAAACTCTTGATTCCTCGTGCCCAAGAAAACAGGGTGTCTGAATCATTTCCTGAAGGTGCCGTTTCGTATTCTGGAAAGTACTGTACTTCAGGCTGTTGCCGTCTGGGAATAGCTCATGTCCATAGATTTGAAGGACACTTACTTTCACGTGCCCATTGCATGGCAACCCAGAGGTTCAGGGTTCTTCCATTCGGCTTCTCTCTCTCTGAGGGTGTAGCGGCCATTGTTGCATTGCAGCCCGATGGGATGAAGATGTTGCCTTCTCTGGACGCTGACCTGTGCTCCACCAAGGGCGCAGGCCTTACGCGATACGAAATGCCGTCTGATCAGTGTTCCCTCTAATTTTGGGTCTGAGTAAAAACGATGACGATGGCTATCAACCCAAAGGGCTGGGAGCCATCCAAGTACTCCTGCATGTGTCCTGTATGTGCGCTGCAACATTGAACTTTCCCCACTGTGGCATGAATAAAAGATCTATCTTATCTTAGGCCCTGTCCACACGAAGTCAAGCTCAGGCCTAAACGCAAAAATACTTTATCAATCCATTGTATCGTCCATACGAGGCCGGCGTTTTGGGGGGGTGTAAACGAACATTTTTGAAAGTAGGTCCCAGAGTGGAAAGATTTCAAAACTCCGTATATGCCGCTCCGTGGTTACTGCCTCTCCGCAATGTATCTGAGACGCTTGCGTCATCGCCCCGCCTTGTTAAAGCACGCATGCGCCGCACTCAGAAAATAATGACAACAACAATGTAGCTTGTTGGTTTTTTAATCCAGTGTGACCCGAAGCAACAGTTCAACCTCATCGTCCGTCCATACTAATGTAGTACCAGCTCGCCCACTCGCCATGTTGTCTGTTTACAAAATTCTGCGCATGCCCAGTTCCCGTCACGGAAGTTTGGGCTTGATCCCGTCATTGCGTCACAGCGCCACCAACAGGTCTGGCATAGTTTCACAGCGTTTTCAGGCGTATTGACTACATTCATATGGACGCACACATTTACTGAGCTAACTCCGTGTTTACAGAAAAAGTTTCTGAAATTATAAGCGTTTTGTCTTCGTGTGGATATAGCCTTAGACGTCAGTTGCGTTTTTCACTATTTTCCTCTCCTTCAATATTTATCATGTTTGGGTGTAGACAGAAAAGCCACAGAAAAGTGGACTATGCTAATGCGCTAATGCTACCAGCAAAATGTACATTTAAATCTTCTCCAGTGTGAGGGGATGGTAACGGCATAATCATAAAGATCATGTGAGGTGAATTCGGGCAAAGTTGGACATTTCATTTAATCGATCAAATTGACTGTGGGGAGAAAGTACGGGTCAACATCCAGTTTGGTGATCCTTAACTTCTCCAAATACCGCTCTTTGTGAGCCCTGACAAGATGTCCTACTTTCACTTTCCGATAACGTAATCGAACATGTGCTTGGAGCAGTCACTTCTCAATTTAGGAGTCTCAGTTTTTAAGAGTTGTTGTTTGTTTTTCTCTCGCCACAATGCTAGTTTCCACTACTTCCGCCGTAACCTCATGCACAATCACGTGACTGGATGACGTTGATACATCTGGTCAATATGTGCTGCACCAGGTCCTCTTGGCGTGGTCTTTGGTAATCCCCATGCACTCTCTGACCACACTTTCCGGTCGGGATCCATTGTGACAGAGCTGGTATCAAGTAATTCAGTGTGATGCAGCACCCTCTGCCAATCAGGACGGATTCATAGAACCGTTAAAAAAAACAAAAACATAACTTTTGTTTTATTGGCCTCATTTGGTCGCATCTACACACTTGATACTGTTAGGAGACATTCTAAACCTGCGACGTGTATGCCTAGGTGTTCATACCCCTTGGTGGGTGAGCCCAGATCGGGGTACATTCCTGGCACTGGGATCTTCCCCATGATGAAGAGCATAACCTCTGACCTCTGGTAGACGGGCAGCGTGTGGGCGAACGAACCTGAGGAGAGAGAGGGAGGAGGATCTTTACAGCCTCAGTCCTGGATCTACAGCCTCACTCCTGGATCTATAGCCTCAGTCCTGGATCTACAGCCTCAGTCCTGGATCTACAGCCTCAGTCCTGGATCTACAGCCTCGCCCCTGGATCTACAGCCTTGCCCCTGGATCTACAGCCTCGCCCCTGGATCTACAGCCTCAGTCCTGGATCTACAGCCTCAGTCCTGGATCTACAGCCTCAGTCCTGGATCTACAGCCTCAGTCCTGGATCTACAGCCTCAGTCCTGGATCTACAGCCTCAGTCCTGGATCTACAGCCTCGCCCCTGGATCTACAGCCTCGCCCCTGGATCTACAGCCTCGCCCCTGGATCTACAGCCTCAGTCCTGGATCTACAGCCTCAGTCCTGGATCTACAGCCTCAGTCCTGGATCTACAGCCTCAGTCCTGGATCTACAGCCTCAGTCCTGGATCTACAGCCTCAGTCCTGGATCTACAGCCTCGCCCCTGGATCTACAGCCTCAGTCCTGGATCACTCGGTCTGTCTGTAGTATATACTGTATATATAAATGTGTGTGTGTCTGACCGATGGTGTGCACCACGGCGTCCTGCAGCTCCCGCTCCTCCGCAGAGCTGGTCTGGCGTTTGCCCACGTTGTCGTAGTAACCCGTGAGCTCATAATCGACACTCTGCCTCAACTGACGAAGAAGTGTGTTGAAGACCTCGAGGACCGTGGGACCTGAGGAGGGGGAGGAGAGAGGAGGAGGAGAAGAGAGAGGAGAGAGGAGTAGTAGATATTGTGTTAGGTCCCCTCTGTTCACAGCCTGATGCTGCCCCTCTCTCACACTGCGAGTTTGGGCAGACAGACGTGTGGTGGAAAGAATGTTTTCGTTCAGAATCAGAATCAGAATCAGAATGATTTTTATTGCCACCTAAGTAACAGGAAGTCACAGACTTGGAAATTGCTTTGGCTCAGTGCAACAGTCAGAAGAAAGAGAATAGAGTAAGGCATAATAAATCAGCATACACCTCTAAGGAATAACATTTAAAATAGGATAATTACAGTTACTATGTACAATATGCAAGTGCACATGGTGCACACAATATGCGCAGTAGGCAGTGCAATAAAACGACAGCAGTAAAGTGACTTTATGATGGGCAGTAAAGTGACTTGATAGGGGACAGTAAGGTGACTTAAAGGGGCAGGTTATGAAGAGTAGAGGGGAAGAAACTGTTCTTGTGGCGGGAGGTTCTAGTCCTGATGGACCGCAGTCTCCTGCCTGAGGGGAATGGTTGGAATAGTCCATGTGCAGGGTGAGAGGGGTCGGCTGTGATACGACCAGCCCGGCCTCGAGCTCGGGCGACCTACAGGTCCTGCAGCGATGGAAGGCTGCGGCCGATCACTTCCTCTGCAGAGCGCACAATGCGCTGTAGTCTCTGTTGTTCAGAGTTGCCTGTTACTTTAGTCTTTAGTATTTGTATCTCAAGACCCTGTATCTGCTACCCTAGTAGCAGTTATAATAGCAGTAGTATCAATAGCAGTCACAGTAGAAGTAGGACAAGAAGTAGCAGTAGTAGTATCAAGTCACAGTAGAAGTAGGACCAGAAGTAGCAGTAGTGTGCAGTAGCAGTAGAAGTAGTACCTATAGATCCAGTGGCTTTGGTCACAGCTGCCCTCAGGACTTGGACAATCCCGGTTCTGACTGAAGCTGCAGATCGACTGTTTGCATCGAGGTGACCGAGGATCAACTGCACCACTAGGTGGGAGTGCTGCAGGGGGGAGGAGGGAGAGGCAGGTTAAAACATGTATTATTTATGACACTAAAGTTACAGACCCCAGCTGTGTTATTAATGAGACCAAAGCTTAAAACATGTTGGTGTTGGACCTGGATGGAGCACATGACGATCTGGAACACGTGGACTGCAAAGTCTTCCTCCCACAGATGATGACTGTCCAAATGCCTGCACACAAACCGGAGGGGAGAGGAGAGGTTTATGGAGTAAGAGATGGCCATGTGAGCAACACTGCCCTCCACTGAAACGCCTGAAATGGTGCAGTCTCACTGGTGTCAGAGGTCGAAGGTCAAAGGTCACCTACATCAGCACTGGTTTGATGGCGTTGGTGATGTGTCCGTAAGCCGCTCTGCTCAGAAGGTCTCTGAAGCACAACTCAGTCTGTTCAGCAGGAGATCCACTGAGGAGGGGAGCACAAGGAGGAGGAGCAAAGCAATCATAGTAGTGGTAGTATTACTGTAGTACTAGTATCATAGTAGTACTAATATCATAGAAGTACTAGTATTACAGTACTACTGTACCTATGTATGTTCTCTGTCTGCAGGTTCACCATCAGCGCTGGCAGGATTTGCTCCATGTGCTGCGGTTCCCAGATGTTGATGTGAAACTCGTTGTCGACTGTTTTCCTCACAACTCCCTGAAGTCCCCTGATCCCGGAGACCCGGATCCTAAAGAGAGACCAGGTCTAAAGCAGGTCGAAAGCAGGACTAAAGCAGGTCAAAAGTAGGTCTAAAGCAGGTCTAAACCAGGTCTAAACCAGACTCACCGGTCCTGGGTCTCCTGGTCCTCGTTCTCACAGAGACACATCTGACTGAACCTCGACACAAAGAAATCGTAGCTGCGGTGATACGAGGGAGAGTCTTCCTGGATGTTAGCGAAAGCCACAAACTGGAACAGAACAAGAACTTGTACCTGTACATGTTCTTGTACCTGTACTTGTGTTGGGACCTGTATTCTCACTCGTACTTGCACTTGTACCTGTACTCACCGCGCCTGTAGCCAGCTCGTGCAGCTGTGCTCTCTCAGACTCCAGCAGCAGCCGTAGCGTCCGGAGGAAGCTCTCCACCAGGAGGTTAATACTCTGAGAGTGACAGGCCGACAGGAGCTGCTCCAGGGCTTCTACTGCAATCTGCACATACCTGTCAAAGTACTGCATTAGTACTGCATGGGTACTTTAGTAATTACTGCATTAGCACTGCATCAGTACTGTAGTAGCAGCAGCAGCAGTAGCAGAAGCTGTAGCAGTAGCGGTAGCAGTTGTAGTAATAATAGGAGTAGCAGTAGTACCCGTAGCGGTGCCGGTGCAGGTCCCTCGTCAGTCGCTCTGACAGATAAGCTGCGATTCTGTCCAGTTTCTCTGGAGCCGAAAGAGCAAAGAAGGTCAGCTTCTCCATGTTGGCTTTCACCAGTCCATCCTGAAGACACGATTAGACAGACACATGAGGATTAGAGCTGACTCATACAGACACATGAGGATTAGAGCTGACTCGCACAGACACATGAGGATTAGAGCTGACTCGCACAGACACATGAGGATTAGAGCTGACTCGCACAGACACATGATGATTAGAGCTGACTCGCACAGACACATGAGGATTAGAGCTGACTCACACAGACACATGAGGATTAGAGCTGACTCGCACACTCCATGAGGATTAGAGCTGACTCACACAGACACATGAGGATTAGAGCTGACTCACACAGACACATGAGGATTAGAGCTGACTCACACAGACACATGAGGATTAGAGCTGACTCACACAGACACATGAGGATTAGAGCTGACTCACACAGACACATGAGGATTAGAGTTTACTCACACAGACACATGAGGATTAGAGTTTACTCACACAGACACATGAGGATTAGAGTTTACTCACACAGACACATGAGGATTAGAGTTTACTCACACAGACACATGAGGATTAGAGTTTACTCACACAGACACATGAGGATTAGAGCTTACTCACACAGACACATGAGGATTAGAGTTTACTCACACAGACACATGGAGGATTGAAATATGGACCAAATTTCATGGTTAGGAACAAATTAGCGACCAAAGAGCCAATTAGGAGTAAGGTTGAGTTAATACTGTTATAGACGCTTCACACATGATTACAAAAGTCCAGAACTGGTTTTACCTCAGGGTTTTCAGGGAAGATGTTGTCGACGAGGCGTTTGTATCGGGGCCTCAGAGCCCAGCAGCAGCACAGACCTGAGAGACATGAAACTGACTTTAATGCTGGGGTACGTAACTTTAAAGGAGGAGTATGTAAAAATCTGCCCCAAAAGTGGTACTGCAACCTCTCCCATAGTCTCCCTGACTCAGGTTGCCAGATATGCAGATGAATCCAGCTGAAACCATAATATCGGAATAGATAGAGTTTTGTCAACAACAAATCTACAACCAACAGCTTTTCACAAAGGCCCAACAAATGTTTATTCCTTGTTTTGTTAATGATTTGAGAGTGATAACGAGACCTTTTGTGGTACAGCGGCCACATGTTACTTTACCAGTGAGATTAGCTCTACGCGGTGAGTTAGGTGGAGGGCGGGACATCGACATTAAAACAATAACAAGATTTTGGGGCTGTAAAACTAATTTTGAAATTCCAGTATTTCAGTATTTGAAAAAGAGCATGGTTTATTAATACCTTTTGACATATTAGGGCCATTTAATGATGACTTGAAATGAAAATCTTACATATTGCTATTATAAAGCTGGGGTACATAACTCTAATGCTGTGGAATGTAACTTTTTTTTGCTGGGATAAATAACTTTCAAGCTGGGGTGCATGACTTCAAAGCTAGGGTACATAATTTTAAAGCTGGGGTACATAACTTTAAAGAGGGGGTACATAACTTAAAAGCTGGGGTACGTAACTTTAAAGCTGGGGTATGTAACTTTTAGACCAAAACAATAGAGCTGGAATCAAATCTTTTCAGTTGACAACATTTCACTTTAAACTCATTCCGTGGGACAGACATGTATTTAAAAGACTCTGCGTCTTTCTCCCTGTGTGTGTCTATGTTCACAAAACTAATATGGCTTTGAGATATTTGTAATAACATGGAAAAATGCGATTTATACTCTGACAGCTGGGATGAAAATATTCACGAATTACATAAAAGGATTACAAAGGCGCACACATGCACAGAGAGGTAAGACACACACACACACACAGAAGTAAAACACACACAAAGGTAACACACACACACATACAGAGGTAACACACACAGACACATAGAGGTAATATATACACACACACACACACACACACACAGGTTCAAATAAAATGATATGTGAAAGTGTTAAAATCAGAGACGCTCACCGTACATGAGGCTGGTGCACAGTCTGTCACATGACTCTCCTCCCAAGACTAACACTACTGCTTCTGCTGCTGCTGCTGATGCTGCTGCTGCTGCTGCTGCTTCTGCTGATGCTCCTGCTTCTGCTGCTACCTCTGCTACTACTCCTGCTACTATGCTGAGTAATAGTACGTATTTTTGTCAAAAAGAAGAAAAACTTAGCAGTAGTAGTGGTATTCTTACAGTACACAGCTGCATCATGTGCTGCGGCTGAGTCTTAATCTGAGGATTATTGTTTCAGATCAAATGTAGAAATAATCTGTTTGATCCAAACAACTCGAGCTCAGGTGGAAGCCCCTTCCCCCGTGTCTCACCCCCCTGTGTCTCAAACCTTCCCCTCCCTCAGTTGTTCATCGTTATATTTTGGTGCAAAATGTGTTGAAAAATACCAATTAAATCCGCAAGCAGCATTGAATGGCCTGGCCTTTGTTCCCATGAGATAGCTCTCTCTCTTCTGCTCTCATCACCATGGCAACACATCATGGTAACAGGTGTGTGTGTTACCGCTGTGGGAGGTCTGGTGGTCACATACGGACAGGACGTCCTGGAGGAGGCGCACTGGAGCACGGCATGCAGTTGTCAGGGTGATTGCTACAGAGCGGCGAATGCCCGGGGGCGGGGCCAGAGACATGCCCCTCGGCATGCTGAGACAACGAGGCAGAGAGCACATCATGGAAACTGGAGGCAGGAGTTAGCTGCATTAGCATGAGTTAGCTACATTGCCACAAGTATGTATGAGTCAATTAATATAAATACATAGTACATGCAACAAAAGTTTACCTAGTTTGGACTGGGGTCATTCCTGGTTCGGACCTGGTTTGGTCCTGGTTCGGGCCTGGTACAACCTGGTTCAGTCCTAGTTCAGTTCTGGCTCATAAAACACCGAACACATTCTTTTTAGGTTTAAAACTTCAATCGGTTTAAATACTTTTCTCACACGTCATGTCAACTGACCCACCCCCTAGACTGAACCAGGACTAACGGAGGAATAAAACAGGACTAAAACAGGTCTAAAGCAGGACTAAAGGAGGTCTAAAGCAGGTCTAAAATAGGACTAAAGCAGGTCTGAAGTTGTGGAACAGTTCTGACCTGCTGTGATGAATCCACACTTGTTACATAAATATGTATGAAGATTCAAGAATATTACCCAATCTCATATGGAAGAGAAATGCATAACAGTTCTACTATCTCCGATTTGAGGTTTAGAGCAGAACTTTGGTCATGGAATTTGAAATCCATTGATAAGGTTATCTTGGTCTTAAATTAAAGCTCATGAATAGGGGCAATTTTTAAATAACATTTGAGGTATAATATGTACAAGAACATGCTTACAAATGATCACTTTCTATATCAATTTGTCAGGCAAACAAAAATTGTTTAGCGTTTGTCTTTTCCATGTTGGAGGTGATACATATTTTTTCAAATGTAGTAAACTCCAAAATCTCTTTTCCCCTATGTGCATGTAGGTTGATAAGACAAAGCATGTGATTTCAGCACCTACATTTTTACAATGACATAATTTTGCCAAAGGCGGACCCTGATGGGGCGTTCAGACCCCCGACGCTAGAACGCTGTTTCCACATGCACTGGACGCACATTCTCTAAATTTCAGACGCTAGGGGCGTTCAGACCAAAAGTGCTGGCCTGCAGTGGCGCCCGGCGGGCAAACTCAATGGCTAACGGAGTTAAGCTAGCGGCTTTTTGTATAAAGTCCGTTCGAGCGTGAAACTACATGTGCGTCTCGGGTAGAGGCGCACGGACTGTGCAGTCGAGGCGCTGCAGAGGCGAAGGAGCGGAAAATAGACGCACGCAAAAGATAAAAATTGCTGAACTTTTTCCTTGGGACGCACATGCAGCGACCAATCAGAGAGCCGCAAAGTGGTCACGGGTGCATTAGCGGTTTAGCGAGCAAACAGCCAAAACAGGAGCTAAACCAGGACTAAACCAGGATCAAACCAGGATTAACAATGGGGGACACAGTGCTTGTGAACATTTGCCTCCAGCCCAAGCCCCGGCGATCCAAGATGGCGCCCTATTCAAATGAATGGTTGTGCTCAGTGGCGCTTTGTGACGGCATGGGGGCTGAAAGATTAGCGGAAGTTGCCTGAAACTCGCAAAGATCTATGGGAAACTCGCCTGTATTTGGGCATCGTCTGGTCCTCCCGGTTCTGCGCAGTGGATGATCTCCCATAATGCATTGCGCCAAACACGCGTGTGTGGGTCTCACACCGGGTCTCACGCACGTGCACAGAGGGGCTCGGCCGCGCTCTGACCAATCAGAGCAGTTCATCAGAGCGGGAGTTAGAGCGAGAGCCAGACGAGCAGAGTTTGTGGCACTAAAGTGTGGATTTAAACAAAACCGAAGGATTTAAGAAGAAAAAAAGTTCAGGATGACAAGGTGTTAAGCATATTTGATATAATAAGCAAAGCCATGTTAAATAGTGTACGTGGTGATGTCATGTGCCTGCGTGCACTAGTTTGTTATTGTGTGCATGCGCAATAAGATATAGTGCCGTGAGTTCGTGCACCAGAGTGATGATGGCGTCTTGTTTTCTCCCGTGAATAGAAAGTGCTAACTGACCACATTGGTGACTGGTAAAGCGTTAGACTGCTGCAGAAATGGCAAACGCTACACAAGGGACACTAAAATCCCCACAAAATCCGACCTTTATGAAAGCTGTAGGTTCTCTTCTCTCTTGGACTCATCTCCAACAACGATGAGTCCGCCTACAGGAGGGAGGTGGACCGGCTGGTGTCCTGGTGCAGTGGTAACAACCTGGAGCTGAACGCCCAGAAGACAGTGGAGATGATTGTGGACTTCAGGAAGAGCACTGTCCCCCCGCCCCACCCTCCGTGATGGACTCCCCCATCACCTCTGTGGAGTCCTTCCGTTTCCTGGGCACCACCATCACCCAGGACCTCAAGTGGGAGCCGACCATCAGCTCCCTCATCAAGAAGGCCCAGCAGAGGATGTACTTCCTGCGGCAGCTCAGGAAAGCCAAGCTGCCTGCACAGATGTTGGTGCAGTTCTACACGGCCATCATCGAGTCCATCCTCACCTCCTCCATCACCGTGTGGTTCGCTGGAGCCACAGTCAGGGACAAGCAGAGACTACAGCGCATTGTGCGCTCTGCAGAGGAAGTGATCGGCCGCAGCTTTCCATCGCTGCAGGACCTGTACGTCGCCCGAGCTCGAGGCCGGGCTGGTCGTATCACAGCCGACCCCTCTCACCCTGCACATGGACTATTCCAACCACTCCCCTCAGGCAGGAGGCTGCGGTCCATCAGGACTAGAACCTCCCGCCACAAGAACAGTTTCTTCCCCTCTGCTGTTGGACTCTTGAACACTTCTTAACCTGTCCCCCCGCCCTTTATAAAGTCACTTTACTGCCCATCATACGTCACTTTACTTCACTGTACTGCTGTCACCTTACATTGTGTGCACCATGTGCACTTGTATATTGTAAATAGTAACTGTAACTCTATTTTAAATTTATTCTTTAGAAGTGTTTTTTATTCTTATTTTTATTATCTCTTTTTGACTGTTGCACTGAGCCAAAGCAATTTCCAAGTCTGTGACCTCCTGTTACTTACGTTGGCAATAAAAATGATTCTGATTCTGATTCTGATTCTCTGTCAGCTGAGGTTGAGCTGTTTTAATATGCATTGAGTTCTATGGGGAAAATTTCTGGGTAGCCCACGTGAATTTAGTGTGGTTCAGTCTGCAGTACCGCGAGAATCCCCCGAGCACATTAGTTATTCAGCTACAAGCTAGTAATACCCTATCCAGTTATTATAATAGATCCATGGTTCAGCCTGAGTTCTCTTTCTCTAGTGACTAAAAACTAGTGCAGCTAGCGTGCTCGCCGATGCGGAAGTACTGTTCAATAGTAAAATAAACTTATGGCGCACCTCCGTGAACACATACTGCTGTTATATAAAGTCTCTGGAAGGTCTCTGGACAGAGATGCTGCAGAGCTGCATTCTTGGAGAAGAGCTTTACACCAAAAGCCGCTAGCTTAACTCCATTAGCTCTGTTAGAACATTGAACTGCATGTGCGTTACTAACGGACGTCATCATTGACATAGCATTGAAAGTCGTTGCAACTCCTGATCCGGTCTGAACGCCCCATTGGACCAAACAGTGCCAATTTGGGAGTGGGCCTTATCAACTTGTTATGGCCCAAAGTTAAAGACAACGTGAGATGAGATAATAGTTAAAAAAAGGTAGCAAAACATATCACGTGGAGGGGGTCTGGCTCCCGGCCTACTATGGATTGTTGATGTAAACTAAAGTAATGATCACTCTCAGAAGCTGAGGCACGCTCCAAAAAGCGTGTCCCTCTCTGGTCTCTCTCTCTGGTCTCTCTCTGGTCTCTCTCTGGTCTCTCTCTGGTCTCTCTCTGGTCTCTCTCTGGTCTCTCTCTGGTCTCTCTCTGGTCTCTCTCTGGTCTCTCTCTGGTCTCTCTCTGGTCTCTCTCTGGTCTCTCTCTGGTCTCTCTCTGGTCTATAACATCTAATGAAAAACATGAAACAAAGTTAGGGACATGGTATTTATTGTGTTGACAACAGTTTCCAAGTGAGTGTGACACAAACGTTTCTGCTGAGCACTTCCCTATTGGGCTTTATTGAGCTAGTAGGTTAGCATTGTCCATCTCTTTACAGTCTATGGTGTGGACCAATCCCTGCGATTGGTTCTCCTCAGCGTCTGGACCAATCACAGACCTCCGCCACCAGGGGAAACGCTGAGCCTGCAGCAGTGCATTATGGGAGTCTCGAGCCCGAGCAGCGATGTGGGTGGAGCCACTGAGGAATGAGGTCATTTGGGTGTGAGTAACAGCAGAGAGGGCTGGGGCATCTGACAGGAAACAAAACAAATGTTAGTAATTTTCAGGTTTGTCTTGTTTTTAAATTAGTGTTAAAAAGTAGTGGTTCTAGTCGTTACAGCATTTAACGAGTGCCCTCTGAAAGTCCACAGAGGCTAAACTAGAGAGGTCAAAAAAATATACTCAGCATTGACGCACAGCTGGAACGTAGCTTTGGGCCAAAAGCTGACTCATAGACCATCCTGTAAAGACGTTTTTTTCAAGAGGAAAGAAGACGCCATACAAAAGCATAGGATAATTCTCTTTCTGGGTCCACCCCCACCGGCTAGGATTGGGATTGCAAGAGGGGAATTGTCAGCGTACCTACTCATTAACATTTTTGAGCCGGGACCCGCCCCCACTGAGTATTACTTGTAGTACTATAGTACTGGTACCTCTCATGGCCCTAAGCAGGGTGTTACTCTGGGCCTTCAGAGCTTCGATCCTCTGCTCTTGTATGCGTTGCTGAACCACAGATTGAGACGCCAACAGCTGCTGCACATCTCCATGGAGACGGAGACACTCCTCCACAGAGACCCGGGACGACTGCGAGAGACCCCCCCCACCCTTCTGTCAGAATAGTGAGGTTTCAAACAGCTCCGCACCTCTGTGTCCCTCTGTGTCTCTCTCCCCTCTGTGTAACTCACCGTATGCAGAGTGATATAATCGTGCACTTGCTTTTTAAGCTCCGCCCTGCGCCTGTCTGTCAAACCCCTCTGACCAATCCAGAACAAGGAGGGCGGGATTTTGGCAGAGCGGCGGCGACTAAGGAAATGACGCACCTAGAGGAGGATTAGAGCTGACTCAGACACATGAGGATTAGAACTGATTCACACAGACATATGAGGATTAGAGCTGACTCACACAGACATATGGGGATTAGAGCTGACTCAGACACATGAGGATTAGAGCTGATTTACACAGACACATGAGGATTAGAGCTGACTCACACAGACACATGAGGATTAGAGCTGACTCACACAGACACATGAGGATTAGAGCTGACTCACAGAGACACATGAGGATTAGAGCTGACTCACACAAACACATGAGGATTAGAGCTGACTCACACAGACATATGAGGATTAGAGCCGACTCACACATACATTTGAGGATTAGAGCTTACTCACACAGACATATGAGGATTAGAGTTGACTCATGCAGTAGTCATACTCACAGCTCTCTGTATCACAGCAGCAGCTCTCTCCTCTCTCCTCTGTGCATCCCTCTCTTCTCTCATCCTTTTGAACCTCCTCCTCTGAGTGAATCCTCTCCACTGACTCTGGATCAGCTCTGCAGCCTGGAGCTCACACTGCTGCAGGTAACAGCCAACTTGTTCTAATCAGACCAGAGGACCCCCGTCAGCCAATCAGAAAGGACCACCTCCGTGGGCCGATCAGAGAGGATCACCTTCGTGGGCTGATCAGAGATAACCCCCCAATCAGCCAATCAGAGAGGACCACCCCTGTCAGCCAATCAGAGAGGACCATCCACACCACCCACAAAAGAGTCTGTGTGAATGAGGCTCTCTGTGAATGAGGCTGTGGTCTTCACCTGGAGGCAGAAGTTGCAGCAGCTGTCTCTGTTTAAGGTGGAAGTTTCTCCTGGCCTGCTGCCGCCTTAAATCCACCTGAAACACAAACACACAGGGTCTGGGTCTTGGAGTTGTCCTGGTCCGTTCCTGTTCCGATCTTGGTGTGGTCCTGACCTGGTACCGAAGAGTCTCCTCCCAGAGCTTTGCCTCCTGCTGCTTCTGCTGCTGCTGACGATGAGACCTGCAACAACCAATAACAGAACTCCATATGAACACTCCGATTACAGACAGCGGGCTCACAGCTCTGGTCCCGGTCCAGTCCTGGTCCTGTCCTGGCTCTGACCCAGTGGTAAGCAAACCCGAGCCCGTGGGCCAGATGCGGCCCTTTGGATCAGGCCCCTGATCCCTGCAGTTTATACAGGTCTAGTATAAAGATTATATTATCCCTCTCTGCTCCATGCAGAGCTCTGAGCTACAGTCACAGATATATTTGGCCTGAGCTACAGTCACACAAATTTTACTACTACATATACGTATAATATATGTAGTAGTATACAATAGTTCATGTAATATATTTATGTGTTAAACCAGAGAATAAAATTGGAAAATAGGCTCGCCTCTCAACTCTCTAGGACAAGCTGCAGCTGCAGCCCTAGCCTCCACCCCCACCCCTGTCATTCACTGCGGCACAGGTCCGTATGCACCTGCTTAAAATCAAGCCGGGGAAGGCCTGCGGACCAGACTAAAGGCCCGTCCCAATTCTCACCCTTGCCCTCAAAAAGCACCCTTACCCTACATTTCGCGTGTGCCAGACCTGAAGGAAACTGAATAAACTTCCAGCAGCTCGGGTGTGATCCCGTCTCTGTGTGCTTCATCTTCCACAATATTTATTGTTCACTGATCTTTTGCTGTGTGCTCCTCATTCCTACTACAACACTGAAATTCCCCCGCTGTGGGACGAATAAAAGGTTCTCTTAATCGCTTATTCCAAATTAACCCATCAGGAGGAAAAGTTTACCATGTCTGCATGTCTGCTTTACCAGTATCTTCTCCAAAGAATATTAAAATACCAAGAAGCCAAACTCAATAGAACTTGTTATCTATACTCTTCGTCTTCTCTGCAGGGTTCTCACAGCTCTGGTCCTGGTTCTGCTCTTAGTCATAGTCCTTGTCCTGACGTCTGTCCTGGTCCTGGTCTCAGTCATAGACTGTATTAGCGGATAAAGTGACGGCAATTTCCCGCATTTGAAATGTATGTGTCGTCCCCACAAAGGTTTTCAAAATAGCCACAAGCAACCCCTTCCACAGGAAATTTGTGAAAAAACACCTTAGGAGTGGAGGCTGCATATTGTGCGCACCCGATCATTTAATGAGTACACTCAAAAGTCCACGGATACATTTGGCTGGTCCAAAAAATTTCCTTCCCTCAACATTGAGCGCATCTGGAATGTAGCGTTGAGCCAAGAGCCAACTTTTGGACCAGGCTGTAAAGCTGTTTGAGAATAAATAAGTCGCCATAAGAATGAATTGGATAATTCGGTTTCCGGGTACAACACCACCAGCAAGAAGTCAGAAGCATGTCAGCACATGTGCTCATGGACCCCTTTGAACCGGGACCCGCCCACACTGGTCTCAATCCTGGTCACAGTCCTGGTCCCAGGCCTGATCCTGGCCATGGTCCTGATCCTGGCCTCAGTCCTGGTCCTGGTCCTGTTCCTGGTCTCACCTGTATTTTGTCTGTAGAGTTTTCACAGATTTCCTCAGACTCTTCACTCTTCTTCTTGTTCGGTGGGATCTCCAGAATGCTTGGATCACACAAGCTGCCCGCACGCGCTCAGTCTGCTCCTACAGAGAGGGACAAGAGGTCTGGACCAGTCTGGACCCGGTCTGGACCCGGTCTGGAACTGGTCTGAACCCGGTCTGGGGTATGTAACTTTATAGCTGCTGTACATAACTTCAATCCATGCCAGATGTGACATGTAAATTTCTCCTGTGTGAGATTCATGAAGTCTATCTTATCTTAATAGCTGAAGATCACATTTCAGAGTCTGAGTTCGAGTTTCTGAGAACGCATGAAAGTTATGAAGGACTCACCATGCTTTCACTGGATTGGACGATGTTGATCAGCTGGTCCACTTCCTGATCGAAGCCCTGCCCCCTCCAGTCGTTGTCCAGGAGGCGGTCCAGACCTAAAGGTTCCACAGAGGAGCTTTGTATTTGTATATATTTGTATAACTCCGCCAAGAACGGTCCCAAGCCTGGCTGAAAAAGAAGGGGGGGTTGGGTGTAGGGCTAGTCTGGTGGTACCACACCATCGTACAAATTACATTATCGTCTGGCTTTGCTCCATTGAGCTTCGTTAACAGGTGGGAGGGGTTAACTAAGATTTAAACTTTTGGATCAGAGTTTACCTTGACATATGTGATGCGCCCAAGTGAGTCGCTAGCATTTAGCCAAGCCATCTCCTTTGCCGCTGACTGAGCCCATGGGGAGTAGCGCCACAATCTTCGCCAGCAATTACATTTGCTAAACATTCCTCTTGCTCCGGCTTCAATTTCTTGATAGAACCAGAATGGATTACTTTACTATCGCATTCTTCGCCATTGCCAAACTACAACCAGCCAATTCGGCGCAGACCCTCGACGTCACCAACAGCTACCTACAACACCCGCCTCCCGTCCTCGCTGATTGGTCGGATGGAATTAACCCGATGGAATTGCAGACAATGGGACTAGACCCAAACAGTAAACCCAGGGAAATGAGGATTGACCGGAGTTTACGGATGGCTAAGGCCAGGCTAGGTGTAGGGCTAGGTTCCCTAACCTGTAAAAAAATAAAAATAAGCAGCTACAGAAACGCCAAAGAGAGAAAAAAACGTTTTTGTCCTGAGAAGAGATGGTTCTTCACCAAGAAGTATGACACTGTGTGGTGAAATCCGGGATCCGGAAGCTACAAGGCCGACCAGGTACGAGGCAAGCAAGACAGCGCAAGTGGCAGCAGGGATGCAGAACTACAAGTTGACCCTGCTAGGACTCAGCGAAACATGATGAATACAATCTGGGCAGAAAAGACTCATTACGGGTTAAATGTTACTATGGTCCCAGCTCTCTGCAGGTCATTCACCAGGTCCCCCCGTGTGGTTCTGGGATTTTTTATCACCATTCTCATGATCATTTTGACCCCACGGGATGAGATCTTGCGTGGAGCCCCAGATCGAGGGAGATTATCAGTGGTCTTGTGTGTCTTCCATTTTCTGATAATTGCTCCCACAGTTGATTTGTTCACACCAAGCTGCTTGCCTATTGTAGATTCACTCTTTCCAGTCTGGTGCAGGTCTACAATTCTTTCAATTCAAAACAGAAAAAGGGATTCTGAAACTCTGAGAGCACCTGTACTTAAAACATGGGCATGATAAGACTAAGCATAATTACATTAGGCAGAAAATGAGAGAAGCCGGTAGGTTAATTAACGAAGCAAAAATGGCAGGGAAACTGAAAACAAATAAAGATTTATTTATTCCTTCCAACTTCAACCATGTGATTGACGCAGACAGGTCTGTGGCTGGATATGATGAGGAAACAACAGACTCCATCCTTGGCCCTCAAACTCGGCCATAGCCTCAAAAAGCTAGCAGATATTCTTGAATGCGACTCAAAAATGGAGATTTGTGTTGATGAACTGTTTATAAAAAACCTCCAACGAAGCCGGCTGCTTTTTGAGAAGAGGTGGGACGTCTGTTTCTTCTGCTGCCCTACAGACCCTCCGCCAAGCGAAGTGGAACACTCCGGACCTGCTCCCTCTGACTGAGGACGTTAGAGCTAGAGCCCTGCACGGGCCTATTATCTGGGCCCGAGCCCGGCCCTGGCCCGAGGGGGTGGCGCCCCAGCCCGGCCCGGCCCGATATGGTTTCTGAATTTTCAGGCCCGAAACCCGCATCAAGCCAGACTTTTTTTTTTATTTTTTTTTTGTAACCTCCCATAACAATGTTTTAGCGTAGTATATAGTGCAGCGCACTGATATGAACGCAGACTTAGCTAGAGGGCGGAGTTATACATGGTAGTGATGTGTTGCAATGAGTTCTGTGTGTGCGGAGTGGTGCAGAGTGAACGGCCGCATCTGTATGATGCCCAGATGCTGCAACACACTTGTAAGTAACGCTATGTGCCGTCAATGACAACACTACACAGAACAACAAACACTACAGCGTGATAGAACGCTATATTCAGTGGGTGCGTTCATAAATGTATTCTGCCACTCTGAAAATGAAGAGCCCGAGCCCGCCCCTTGTCCGAGGTCATCATGCGGTCATCGGCCCGAAGCCCGGTCCTCGGGCTGTCGAGCCGTCGGGGCCCTCGGGCCAAGGGCTCAAGTGCAGGGCTCTAGTTAGAGCCATGCACGCACATATTGAGGTATGTCGACCTCATTATGTGCAGACCCTAAAGAGTGAGCCAACCTCTAAGCATTGGTCTAAACTGGCAGTTTTGACGCTTTGTGAGGTCATTATTTTCAAAAGAAGAAGGGAAGGTGAGGTTTCAAATGTGCCACTGACAGAGTTTTCTTTAAGAAGTAAAACTGGGATCCATTTTGAAGTTGCTATGGGACTATCCGAAATTGAAAAAAACCTGTGTCAGCATTTATGGAAGATTTTTTGTGTCATCAGATTTTGAGCTTGAATTTTTCCATTTGAAATGTTTAACCCTGAAAAAGCATGTTTGAATATTTTTATCTTTGCATTTCAATCACTAAAAATTCAGTTTACAAATTTCAATGTGATTAAAATTTCAAAATGACATATTCACCTTCAAAATATTCAAATTTTTTTTTTCAATGAAAAAAAAAAAGACAGATTATTTGTTCCATCAGAAATTGAATTTTAAATGGACCTGAATTCATCTATTTGAATATTTTTTTCTGTGAATTTCAGTCACTGATTGTCAATTTCATAATGTTAAATTCAACAGTCAAAATTCAACGAGAAAAAATTCACTGGTGAAAAATGCACATGACACATCCGGTGTTCTGACGAGTTGTTGGTCTGCGCACAAGTCATTTTACTGAGGTAAAGACAGGCGCTAGCTTTCAGCAGGTCTATCGGTTGATAACATGAATCTAACAGGTTGATATGGGTTTTCTAATGAATGGATTGTAATGAAACCAATACGAATAACAAGATGATACTACATTAATTTGATGAGTTAGTCTTTTGAACATTTTGGGTAAATGTGCTTGTTTCAAATCATTATTGCTGTATATTCCTGTTTATTATTTAGGCTGTGTGTGTTTGTTTGTGTTCATGAAAACCATCACATTTGAAAATTTATAGCAACAAAGGACAGTGTTATTGTTGGTAACGTTACACAGTATTTGGGTCTAGTTTCCCGTGTAGCAGTTTCCATGATAAATAGAATGCACCTGTGTGTAATCAAGTCTCCGTATAAATGCACCTGCTCTTTGATAGTCTCAGGGTTCTGTTTAAAGCGCAGAGAGAACCATGAAGACAAAGGAACACACCAGGCAGGTCCGAGATACTGAAGTTTAAAGCCGGATTTGGATGCAAAAAGATTTCCCAAGCTTTAAACATCTCAAGGAGCACTGTGCAAGCAATTATATTGAAATGGAAGGAGTATCAGACCACTGCAAATCTACCAAGACCCGGCCATCCCTCCAAACTTTCATCTCAAACAAGGAGAAGACTGATCAGAGATGCAGCCAAGAGGCCCATGATCACTCTGGATGAACTGCAGATAACTACAGCTGAGGTGGGAGAGTCTGTCCATAGGACAACAATCAGTCGTGCACTGCACAAATCTGGCCTTTATGGAAGAGTGGCAAGAAGAAAGCCATTTCTCAAAGATATCCATAAAAAGTCTTGTTTAAAGTTTCCCACAAGCCACCTGGGAGACACACCAAACATGTGGAAGAAGGTGCTCTGGTCAGATTAAACCAAAATCGAACTTTTTAGCCACAATGCAAAACGATATGTTTGGCGTAAAAGCAACACAGCTCATCACCCTGAACACACCATCCCCACTGTCAAACATGGTGGTGGCAGCATCATGGTTTGGGCCTGCTTTTCTTCAGCAGGGACAGGGAAGATGGCTAAAATTGATGGAAGATGGATGGAGCCAAATACAGGACCATTCTGGAAGAAAACCTGTTGGAGTCTACAAAAGACCTGAGACTGGGACGGAGATTTATCTTCCAACAGGACAATGATCCAAAACATAAAGCCAAATCTACAATGGAATGGTTCATAAATAGACGTATAATATAATAATAGAAGTTACAACAAAGATGGCGCCTCGTACGGTCGACATGGCTCTTTGCTGCTCTCTTTTTCTTTTGTTTTTAATTTTTAACTGCGCATCTGGCTGTTCCTACACCCGTGAGGAACTTATGAACATCCGACCCACCGTCCCCATGGACCTATTGCCTGTTTTCTTGGCATCTGCGGCTGATTTAGTCCATGTTCTAGCCAAAAAAGTGTGGGCCCGTAAAAGGGGAAAGCGCGGAGGCCTGCTCATGCGTCTTAGGAGGAGAGGAGCGCGCACGGCTCTCCCCGGCATTTTCCTCTCCAACGTACGCTCACTGGGCAATAAGATGGACAAACTCAGCCTGCTCATGAGAAGCAAGGACTTCGCCACATCCTGTGTCCTCTGCTTCACTGAGACCTGGCTAAATGAGCGGATCCCGGACTGCGCTCTGGAGCTGCAAGGCTTTGGGCTGTTCCGCGCGGATCGCCATTGTGCGCTCTCAGGGAAGAGCCGAGGCGGTGGGCTGTGTTTCTACGTCAATACAAACTGGTGTAACGATGTGACAGTGATCTCCAAGCACTGTTCTCCTGCTCTGGAATATCTTTTCATTCATTGTAAACCATTTTACTCCCCTCGTGAAATTGTTTCATTCATTCTTGCCTCTGTTTACATACCGCCATGGGCGGACGCGCGCGAGGCTCAGCGCGCACTCGCAGAGCAAGTACTGTGTATGGAACGTTTATACCCGGACTCTCTGATTATTATCCTGGGGGATTTTAATAAGGGAAACTTGAGCCAGGAATTGCCCAAATACAGACAGTTTATCAAATGCCCGACCAGAGAGGAGAACACTCTGGATCACTGTTACACCACCGTGCGCGGAACTTTTCGCGCTGTTCCCAAGCCAGCCCTTGGCTTCTCAGATCACTCCATGATACATCTGGTTCCTGCTTACAGACAGAGACTAAAGCTCTCGAAACCTGCAGGTTTCAAAGTGTGGTCTAATGAAGCTGTGGAAGAGCTGCGCGCATGCATGGAATTTACAGACTGGGACCTTTTCAGAGCTGCCACAGATAGTTTGGATGAATACACGGACACTGTGACATCATACATTCACTTCTGCGAGGATAGCATTATTCAAACAAGGACCAGGGTCATCTATAACAATGACAAACCCTGGTTCACTGCTAAACTCCGGCAGCTCAGGAAAGCAAAGGAGTCTGCTTTCAGGGAGGGGGACCGCAGCGGCTACAAAGCAGCTAAATATCAGTTCAGGAAAGAACTGAAAGCAGCCAAGTCCCGGCACAGAGAACGACTACAGGAACAGTTTGGTAACAACGATACTGCTTCTGTCTGGAGGGGCCTACGGGAGATCACCAACTACAAACCCAAAGCCCCCCCCTGTGCTGACGACCACAAGCTAGCTGACGAACTGAACTTATTTTTCAGTCGCTTTGATGCTGCCCCTGACACCTCTCCCTCCCCCACCCCCACTACTCTAACGACCCACCCATCAGCCCTGCCCCCAGCCTAACAATAGCCTCTAAAGAGATTAAACAACTCTTCTTGAGGCTGCACCCCCGCAAAGCTCCTGGCCCGGACCACGTGTCTCCGGCCACTACTGCGCCAGTGAGCTTACTCCTGTGTTCACTGACATTTTCAACACCTCTCTGCAGTCCTGCCATGTCCCGGCCTGCTTCAAATCCTCCTTCATTGTCCCCGTCCCGAAGAAGCCCAGGATCACAGGACTCAACGACTACAGACCTGTAGCACTTACGTCTGTCGTCATGAAGTCATTTGAACGCCTGGTTCTCTCCCATCTCAAGTCCTTCACCTCCCCCCTCCTGGACCCCCTGCAGTTCGCCTACAGAGCCAACAGATCTGTAGACGACGCCATTAACCTGGCCCTCCACCACATCCTACAGCACCTGGACTCCCCGGGGACCTACGCCAGGGTCCTGTTCGTGGACTTCAGCTCTACACAATCCTGCCATCCCTGCTCCAGGACAAGCTCTCCCAGCTCAACGTGCCCGATTCCACCTGCAGGTGGATCACTGACTTCCTGACGGACAGGAAGCAGCGAGTGCGTCTGGGGAAGAATGTCTCGGACTCTCGGATTATAAATACAGGAGCCCCACAGGGCTGTGTTCTTTCTCCTCTGATCTTCTCCCTGTACACCAACCACTGCACCTCCAGCCACGACTCCGTGAAGCTGATCAAGTTCGCGGACAACACCACCCTCATCGGACTCATCTCCAACAACGATGAGTCCGCCTACAGGAGGGAGGTGGACCGGATGGTGTCCTGGTGCAGTGGTAACAACCTGGAGCTGAACGCCCAGAAGACAGTGGAGATGATTGTGGACTTCAGGAAGAGCACTGTCCCCCCGCCCCCACCCTCCGTGATGGACTCCCCGATCACCTCTGTGGAGTCCTTCCGTTTCCTGGGCACCACCATCACCCAGGACCTCAAGTGGGAGCAGACCATCAGCTCCCTCATCAAGAAGGCCCAGCAGAGGATGTACTTCCTGCGGCAGCTCAGGAAAGCCAAGCTGCCTGCACAGATGTTGGTGCAGTTCTACACGGCCATCATCGAGTCCATCCTCACCTCCTCCATCACCGTGTGGTTCGCTGGAGCCACAGTCAGGGACAAACAGAGACTACAGCGCATTGTGCGCTCTGCAGAGGAAGTGATCGGCCGCAGCCTTCCATCGCTGCAGGACCTGTAGGTCGCCCGAGCTCGAGGCCGGGCTGGTCGTATCACAGCCGACCCCTCTCACCCTGCACATGGACTATTCCAAACACTCCCCTCAGGCAGGAGGCTGCGGTCCATCAGGACTAGAACCTCCCGCCACAAGAACAGTTTCTTCCCCTCTGCTGTTAGACTCTTGAACACTTCTTAACCTGTCCCCCCGCCCTTTATAAAGTCACTTTACTGCCCATCATACGTAACTTTACTTCACTGCACTGCTGTCACCTTACATTGTGTGCACCATGTGCACTTGTATATTGTAAATAGTAACTGTAACTCTATTTTAAATTTAAATGTATTCTTTAGAAGTGTTTTTTATTCATATTTTTATTATCTATTTCTGACTGTTGCACTTAGCCAAAGCCATTTCCAAGTCTGTGACCTCCTGTTACTTACGTGGCAATAAAAATGATTCTGATTCTGATTCCAGGTGTTAGAATGGCCAAGTCAAAGTCCAGACCTGAATCCAATCGAGAATCTGTGGAAAGAGCTGAAGACTGCTGTTTACAAACGCTCTCCATCCAACCTCACTGAGCTCGAGCTGTTTTGGGCAAGAATTCCAGTCTCTCGATGTGCAAAACTGATAGAGACATACCCCAAGCGACTTGCAGCTGTAATTGCAGCAAAAGGTGGCGCTACAAATTATTAGCACAAGGGGGCCGAATAATATTGCACGCCCCACTTTTCAGTTTTTTATTTGTTAAAAAAGTTTAAATTATCCAATAAATTTCGTTCCACTTCACGATTGTGTCCCACTTGTTGTTGGTTCTTGACAAAAAAGTTATTTTGATATCTTAATGTTTGAAGCCTGAAATGTGGCGAAAGGTTGAAAGGTTCAAGGGGGCCGAATACTTTCGCAAGGCACTGTGATTGCCGAGTTGTCTCTGAAATAAAGTAACGACGGTAAGAACACCGTATGGCTCCTTATTTCTTGAGCTGTGAAAAGTTACGTGCCCTTTCGGCTCCACTCGCTCCGTAAACAAAGAAAATCCTCTCTCTCTCTCTCTCTCTCTTTCTAAAAGTGACGGTAACGTAAATATTCTTTGTTAACAAAATCTCCATTAGTTCTAAAGGGTCTAATGTAGATAAAGAGAGATTCCAACGTTAGTGAAGAGAAAACAGAGTTCATTATGCGCAGACCAACTGACAGAGCACACAACTCGTCAGAACACCGGATGTGTCATGTGCATTTTTCTCCATTGAATTTTTTCTCGTTGAATTTTGACTGTTGAATTTAACATTATGAAATTGATAATCAGTGACTGAAATTCACAGTAAAAAATATTCAAGATGTTAAAAACAATTCAATTTATGCTGGAACAAATAATCCGTCTTTTTTTTTTTTCATTGAAAAAAACATAAATTGGATATTTTGAAGGTGAATATGTCATTTTGAAATTTGAATCACATTGAAATTCGTAAACTGAATTTTTAGTGACTGAAATGTAAAAGATATTCAAACATGCTTTTTCAGGGTTAAACATTTCAAACGGAAAAATTCAAGCAAAAAAAAAATTCCAAATCTGATGACACAAAACATCTTCCATAAGCATTTTCAACGAATTGAAATTATAATGATTTCTTTGATGGAGGTGCTGGTGGAGAACACAAGGGCGTGTTCCATCTCTAACAATAACCCATACTTCTTCTCCCGCCCGGGCGCAGACCCTCACATCAGGGGATCAAACTCCCTACGGCAGGTGGCCGAAGCATGTGGTGCGGTGCATCCAGAGATGTTATCCTCAACCAAACTTAGAAAGCACATAGCTACTAAGTCTACAGTTCTTAATATGAAAGAGAATGAAATGGACATACTAGCCAACTTCCTCGGCCATGACATTCGCATCCACAGACAATATTACAGACTACCAGAGCTGGAGCTGGCCAAAATCAGAAAAGAATGAATGGCCATGGAGCAGGGAAGTGTGACGGAATTCAAAGGAAAGAGCCTCGACCAGATACAAATTGAGCCTGAAGGTAATTCTTGATATTATCAAAATATTTATTTTTCTTTTATTATTTTCCCCTTAATGACACTCATTTAAGTTTTTTTTCTTTTCAGTGTTACAGGGAGAGTAGTAGAGATTCTTTCAGAAACGGACGGGCTATAAGAAACTTCAAACGCAGAACCTTCAACCATTCAACCAGATGCACCGCATGGTAGTGGCAGTGCCCCTTCTGGTAAGTGGACCATCCAGGAGGCCTGGGTGTTGGAGGGTTGCAGCCAGGCTGCTTGGCCCTAACCCTGGGAGTGTATATTTCTAATATCTTTTTTTTTCTCTCTCTCCAGAACATGTAAGAAAGCCATGGTCTGCATTTGAGGGGAAGGCTGTAGAGAAGACCATGATTCTATATGTAAAAAATAGAATCACTGCATTTCAAAAAAATAAAATAATAACAAAAATAAAATTGATAAAAAAAATGTCCTAATTCTGTAAAAGATTTGTCTGTTTTGTATTGACTGTTTTGGAATGTTTTGTATTTCTTAAAGTAGTCAGTAGTAAAAAAAATCAGTGCAGAGTAATTCTAAAGTGTATTCATATTTATTTATTCTAAAGTATTTTTTGCCAATACCCCAGTATTGGCAAACATACAGCAAGATTTAAGGAGTTAAAACCATGTGTGTGTGCGTGTGTCACCTCTGAAGTCTTGGAGCAGAGGAGGGAGGCGGGCTTTCAGCTGATGGGCCAATACCAGCATCAATCTGACACAAGCCCCGCCCACCTCTGCATCGGTGCTCACAGCTAATTGGCTGATGACGTCATTGAGCAGCAGAGAGAGACAGTCATTTGTCAAACGGCTCAAGAACTCCCTGAGACACACACATGACATTAAAGCTGAGAGACGTAAATCTGACAGTGTGTGTGCATGGGTGTATATGCGCGCGCGTGTGTGTGTTTCCTCTGTATGTGTGTGTGTTCGTTTGTGGTGTGTTACCTGTGTGAGCAGGTGTGTGTCCAAAGCTGCACACACAACAGACTCACTGACGCCTCTTCACAGATCTGCAGCATCTCATAATGACGTGAACTCAGCACTAGAACAACAACACAACATGGAAAACAACAAATCAACCCCTGTCACATTACCAGCAAATGTGTGTGTGCGTGTACCTTGTGTGCTAAGGTTTGTGTGCGTAACTTGTGTGCTGAGGTGTGTGTGTACCGTGTGTGATGAGGTGTGTGTGCGTGTGTGTGTGTTTGTGTACGTTGTGTGCCGAGTTGTGTGTACCTTGTGCGCTGAGGTGCGTGTGTGTCTGTAGTATCCAGCTCACAGAGTCCAGAATCTTCTGCAGCAGATCCACGCACTGAGAAAAGAAGTTTGAGAACAGAGCAATTGGACTGAAGGCACGGGGGGCACTGTTGTAGAGCCAGGGACCAGAGGCATGGGAAAGTCAATTACCCCAGCTTTAAAGGTACAGACCCCAGCTTTTTTGTTGTAGCCCCCAGCTTAAAAAAAATAGGCTTGTTACATAATGCTCAAATAAATGTTGTTCAGACAAACTCACTTTGAGTTTCATGATGCGGGCTGCCAATGAGAGCAGAGTGCTGATGACTGACGGTAGGAACAGCCTATCAAAGGCCTCCGATCTGTCCCCAGGGTCTGCCCCTACACAGCATGAGCTGCAAGCACAAACATGTCACTTACTAAAACTGCTACATAAGAGCTGATCTACATATGTTAATGAGCTGAACTGCACATGGTCTGGTCCTTGATGGTCTGGTACCTGATGGTACAGTATCTGATGATCTGGCACCTGGTGATCTGGCACCTGAAGAACTGGTTGTCAGATGTCTGACACTATGGTACCTGATGGTCCGGTGCCTTACAATCCAGTACCTGATGGTCTGGGCCAGTGCTGTCGCTCCGCTCCACTCTCCTCTCACGTGTCGTTGCTCCAGGAGAGAAACGCACCCAGACAAAACTCCAGATTCAAACAGACGACACTTCAGCCGAGAGAGAGTGCCCCCTGTCTGCAGGGAGGCCACATGCAGCACCTCTGCACACAGGCACAGAGAGAGAGATACAGAAAGAGCGAGACACAGGGCTCACTCCACACTAAACTGTATCAATGTGTTACATTTTGGTCAATGACACAAAAAAGTCCCAAAATGTCCGCGGCCGTTACCGCTGAAAGTTCACAGACCCACTCTTGTTTTGTCCCCAGCCCTTTATCCAGTGAAGGGTGCTCTACTTAAAAACAGATTTCATGCCGTATTATTAACAGCACTCCAAGACAGCCGTTTTGGATGTAACAAAAGTGGACACGATTGTTACGTCCATAATGCCCAGTTTGTGTGCAGTTATTGAATAATGTTATTTTTGCATAATGTTAAATCTATTATTACATATTGATTAAAGTTATATCTCCAAACATTAACCATTAAATAGTCTTCTCTGTCCTGTTCATTCTTCACACATGACATGTCCTAAATGTAACAATTATGTCCCCAAAGTTCCATAAATTTTTTTTGAAAGGCATCCATTTTTCTTGAAATAGTTTTAGCTGCCCTTCTGAGATTATACTTTGCATATATATATATATATATATATATATATATATATATATATATATATATATGTGTGTTTATATATACATATACATATATAAATGATATATATACATATACATATACATATATAAATGATATATATATATATATAAATATATATATATATAATATATATATATATATTATATATATAATATATATATATATATATATATATATATGTGTGTGTTTATATATACATATACATATATAAATGATATATATACATATACATATATAAATGATATATATATATATATATATATATATATATATATATTATATATATATATATATATATATATATATATATATATATTATATATAATATATATATATATATATATATATATATATATATATATATATATATGAGAGAGAGTTGAACCATGGATTCAAGTTTTGTGCAAATCAGACTTTGCTTGTGCAAACGGCACACCTCATGTGTATATATATATATATATATATATATATATATATATATATATATATATATATATATATATATATATATATATATATATATATATATATATATGTATGTATGTATGTATGTATGTATGTATGTATGTATGTATATATATATATATACATACATACATACATATATATATATATATATATATATATATATATATATATATATATATATATATATATATATATATATATATTATATACTGACCCTAATCCTTCCACCATCCTCGTCTGTGTTTCTAATGTACCATCACTCAAGCATGGGGAAAAACAGGGAACATAATAATAATAATGATAATACATAAAAAAAACACAAACAAAAAAGGCTAGGGATACAGGAGACATGGGAGATGCCCTTGGACAGCGCCCCTGCACCAAGAAGACAGCCTCCCATTGTCTCCTCTTTAATGCCAATAAAAATGTATTCAAAAAAAGAGTAAAATGTTTGTGTAAAGTTTGGTTTAAGTGCTCATGTCACAACATTTGGTGGTTTTCCCGCATACTTTTTATCCAAGCGACTTGTAGGTAATTAATAGACAGAAGGACAAAAAACAGAATCATGATGTTTTTTTTGAGCATTCTTGCGGGTTTTGGGCTCGAAAGTCTTGCCAGCATTTGACAACCCTGCAACTCTGCAACGCAGTCAGGAGTCGTGCGCTGAATTGTGTGTTTCGATGTGAGTGGTTGAAGGAACACGTCATTCAAGATAACAGACAAGTGGTTGATCCAATCACATACAAGGATTGTTTTTTTTACAAGGCCCTGCATTCTGAAATTCACCCACTATGAAGGAGAACCCAGACCCTTGTGTGAAGCTCAGCGAACTACACGGGTCTGGCGAGAGTCAGGCTAGAGAAATCCTGGCCCAATATCTGTGGGTCGATGTGGCAACCACTCATGGATCCCACGCGAGAATCCCAATATCCAAGCTGCTGGTGGGATATACAGTCAATTCCTTGCCCCCGATCCCTAGCAGGGGGCAAGGAATTGGGATAGTGTATTCTGTCCAGGTGGCCAGTTCTTTTGCAACCTGGCTGGTGGACCGGGCGCCGATGCACAGGTGCAGCCAAACTGGGCATAACGCAGCACAAACGAACACTAGGGACCGCCATTACGGAGTGTCCTACGACTGTTCTCAGTGGTGAGACGGAGCCATATCTGACAAAAAGCCTGCACAAGGACATGACCTGTTCCATGGTCATCAAACCAATTGCAGAGCTGCATCACTGAAAGCAATAGCATTAGCAGCAGCACCCCCAGCTCTACCCTCCTGAAGAGAGGCAGAGAGGGCAAGCACCAGATGCGCCAAGAGGAGTGTTGGGGAAGTTACTTTTGGAAAGTAACTTTTCTTGTTACTTCAATTAAAAATGTACCTGTTACTGTACTTACTTAGTAGGTACTCTCTACAGAAAGTAATTTTCTACAAAACGTTTGCTCGACTTTTATAACATATATTAATTTCATGCTCTGCATTATCAAAAAGGCCACAGAGCAATTGTATTTCATGAACACAGCTCTTACTCAGGGAAATCGGTTTAGGAACTCTGATCTAATTTACTCAAGTACCTCTGCGCTAAAGAATGTTGCGTCTTCCTCCTCATTAAAAGAACAATATTCAGCCTCACTGGCGCTGCTGTGTCGCACTTTAGTGTCTGTCTGGTAAAGTGCGACACTCTACGATGAGTAGCCATCACTATAGCGGCCTCTTGCTTCGCATACCATGTGTCCCATACCATGTGTCCCATACCATGTGTCACGTACCATGTGTCACGTACCATGTGTCACATACCATGTGTCACGTACCATGTGTCACGTACCATGTGTCACATACCATGTGTCACTTACCATGTGTCACTTACCATGTGTCACATACCATGTGTCAGATACCATGTGGAATGATAACTTATTGCGCGCAAGTCGGGACTGATTCGTAAGCATCAGAAGATGTGTGTAACAGCTGTCCATGGTAAAGTAACGTTGCTACAGATCAAAAAAGAAACGTGTCATGTTACTAATTGTCGATAGTTAACGCACACTTTACTTTTCGCCAGAAGAAGTAGTTTCGGTTGTCGCATTATACAAGCTGCATGCACTGACACTGAGGACAGTCAGGTGCAGACACGACAAAGCTCTGCACCTCACCTCCTGCAACAAGCTGTCGTCAGACCAGACACTCTCTGCTCGAGAGAAAAACTGAGAAACTGTTCCACATCTGTCCACGTCTGTCCACATCTGTCCTCATCTATCCACACCTGTCCACACCTGTCCACATCTGTCCACATCTGTCCACATCTGTCCACATCTCTGTCCACATCTGTCCACATCTGTCCACATCTGTCCACACCTGTCCACATCTGTCCACATCTGTCCACACCTGTCCACACCTGTCCACATCTGTCCACGTCTGTCCACGTCTGTCCACATCTGTCCACATCTGTCCACATCTGTCCACACCTGTCCACATCTGTCCACATCTGTCCACATCTGTCCACATCTGTCCACACCTGTCCACATCTGTCCACATCTGTCCACATCTGTCCACACCTGTCCACACCTGTCCACATCTGTCCACATCTGTCCACATCTGTCCACATCTGTCCACGTCTGTCCACATCTGTTCACATCTGTCCACATCTGTCCACATCTCTGTCCACATCTGTCCACATCTGTCCACACATTCTCACATGGTTTTGATGTTTTAGGTTTGAAGGAAGCCGCATGATCCAAGTGATGCTCCTCAAGTCTCTGCTGCAGGTCTGAAAACTAAACTTAACACTTAAAGCTCATCTACGTAACTTTTACCTCATAAATAACAAATGTTTAAAGCTAGGGTCTGTAACTTTAGTCTGATTAACAGGTGTGCCTGCAGTACGACTGCTCCAACCTCCTCTCTCTCCCGTCCTCGTTCCTGGAGCCGCTGCTCTGCTTTACTCTGATGGAGGATCCAGAGATACGTCTACTGGTCCTCAGGATCCTCACCAGTCTGCTGGACCGCAAACACAACCAGGACCAGTTGGAGACCAGGTGAGGACCAGGACAGGACAGAGACCAATGATAGAGACCAATGATAGAGACCAGGGCAGAGACCAGGGCAGAGACCAGGGCAGAGACCAGGGCAGAGACCAGGGCAGAGACCAGGACCAAAACATATTAAAAGCTGATTCTCTAACTCTGTTGTTTTTTCAGTGTGGATTTCGATGTCTCCATTTTGGAGCAAAAAAGAGAACACTCTCGGCACGACCAGCTGTTCATGAGGAAGGTACTACACTAGTACTGCACTATTACTGCACTAGTACTACACTGGTATTACATTGGTACTACACTAGTACTACACTAGTACTTCACTAGTACTGCATGAGCACTTCACCGTTCTGTAGCACTTGTAGTATCAGTAGTACCATAGTACTTGTAGTACATGTAGTACCTGCAGTACATGTAGTATCTGCAGTACTAACAGTACATGTAATACCTCTAATACCTGTAGTACCTGTAGTGCTTGTAGTTCCTGAAGCACTTACTCTGGTCCCCTCCTCAGAATGCAGACTCTCTCTATCGTCACATGTTCTTGGCGTTTAAAGAGGAGAGTAATGGGCGGGACCATTTCCACAGCCTGTTCGTCCTATTGGCTGTGGTCCTGCTGGAGCTGTCCAATGAGGAGGCGGAGGTGGACCTGATCCGATTGGTGCTGGCTCTGCAGGTGAAGCCTTTTAACTGGACACAGGTTTGAATTTGAAATAATCCTGTCTGCTCTGTGATTGGCTGACAGGAGCTGGCCCTGTCCAATCAGGAGGAGTTATCTGTGTTTAATCGCTGTGGTATCCATGCAGTGTGTGCAGCCTTCATGAGTCTGATCTGTGGAGTGGCGTTCACCGCAGAACTGAGGACTTATGTCACAAAGGTGCTACTGCTACTGCTACTAGTGCTACTGCTGATACTACTGCTACTTCTGCTACTAGTACTACTGCTACATCTGTGTATTTCAGGTGGTGGAGAGTCGCAGGACAAAAGCATCGTTCTTGTTGCCTGAGTTTGTCTTCTCTGATTCTAAATGGTGATTATCAAAGTAGATAACTTTAATCTCATTACCCATGTTTAAAGCTGGGGTCTGTAACTTTAGTCTTATAAATACACATGTTTAAAGCTGGGTAGTTACGTACATTATGGGTTTCATTGGAGTGCTCTCTCTTACATTGGGGGTGGTCTCTCTCAGTGTTCCAGAACGTGACCTGGAGGTAGAGCCTTGCTGTTTGTTTGTCCAATCAGAAGTCTGCGAGGCTCTAACAGGAACTAGCTACAGCGCTAACATCGAGCGGCTGCGGTTGCCCTACACCTCGCAGCTCACAGGTGATTCACTTTTCTCCTCCTCTTCTTCCCCTCTCCTCCTCTCCTCATTCTCCTCCTCCTCTCTTTCTCTCCTCCTCTTCTCTTTCCACCACTCCTCCTCCTTCTTTCTCTTCTCCTCCTGTCCTATCTCTCTGCTCCTCCTCCTCTCTCTCCCCCTCCTCCTCTCTCTCCTCCTCCTCCTCCTCCTCCTCCTCCTCCTCCTCCTCCTCCTCCTCCACAGACTCAAATGTGTTTGTTTCAGATGAAGAACGACTTTCGAGGAGAAAAAGTGTGAACGACGTCATCTCTGTTCAACTGGACCTGGACCCAGAGACCCGAGACCCACTGCAGGTCTGGACCAGTAGTGAGACCAGTAGTGAGACCAGTAGTGAGACCAGGACAGAGACCAGGACAGAGACCAGGACAGAGACCAGTAGTGAGACCAGTAGTGAGACCAGTAGTGAGACCAGGACAGAGACCAGGACAGAGACCAGGACAGAGACCAGGACAGAGACCAGGTCTAAGTGTGTGTTTGTTCCTTTGACAGAAGCCTCAGGAGCAGATAACCTTTGAGACTCTGAAGAACGCCATCGGTGAGAAAACACATCATATCTGTGCTCCGGCTGCAGAGGAGGAGGAGGAGAAAGGAGAAGAAGAGAGGAAAGCGACAGAGAGAGGAGAGAGAGGATGAGAGAGAGGAGGGTGAGAGAGGAAATAAAGACAGAGAAGTTGAGGAGGAGGAGGAGCAGAGAGAGGGGGAGGAGGAGAGAGGAAAGAAGGAAAGGGGAGGCGAGGAGGAGTGAGAGAGGAGAGAGAGCCCAGAGGTCAGAGGAGGAGCTGCCTTATTGTGTTTACTATGTGGAGTTTGTCCTCGTGCAGAGGACGTGGGAGGAGCAGAGGAGGAGCAGAGGAGGAGAAGGGAGGTCACACTCCGCTTCCAGACCGCTCCGTTTGAGGAGATCGCTGCTCTGTGTGGAGCTAAGGTCAGTATTCCTCCAGACACGGCCTGGTCTTGGGCCTGGTCTTGGGTCTGGACTGGGTCTGAACTAGTTGAACTAGACTTAGATCTAGTCTTGGATCTAAGTCTCTTCTCTGTTTCTGGTGCAGACTCTGCTCCAGTCCGGACTGCCGCAGGTTTTCGAGCTAATCATCAGAACTCCACCATCTCCAACAGCTCCGAGGTCCAGGGCCGTCTATGACATCAGCTACCCAGACCAGGTCTGGACTAGGGTTGAACCAGGTCTGAACCAGGTCTGAACCAGGTCTGAACCAGGTCTGAACCAGGTCTGAACCAGGTCTGAACCAGGTCTGAACCAGGTTTTCATCACTAAATCTTCCTTGTATAAATACTGTAGAGTCTGAAGTGTTGTGTCTCCAGATCCTTTCTTTATTTGTATTATGACTAATTCTTAATAATGTTATTATTATTCATATTATCATTATTATTTGCACCATAGAATGGAAAAGTCTTAACTGTGACCTGTGTTTGTTCAAGTGACTGAAGTGGACAATCAGCACATATTTTTTTCCTTTTGCAAATCATCTGTTTATTGTACATGTTATTTACACTATGTAATAAATATCAAAACACTCTGCGTCATTCGATTCATTTTACAACATTTCAAACATTTAGTGACTTAAAAAACACTATTAAACCCATTCCTGCTCTGGGAAGACGCCGTTTCCGATCAGTTAGACGCCATTTTGGATCAGTCAGATATGTCATGGCATTGAAGCTGTGAGCGACAGTTGAGCCACAATGAAAGGGTAAAAACAGAAAACGTGAACAAAGCTCGGGTCTGTTCTCCTTGAATTTAGAAACTCTTTAATATTGACTTAACCCAGAATTATTGGATTATTCCTGCAGTGAAACCATTAACAATTGAGCCAAGACATTGACTCCATAGCTCTTTTTTTCTTTTTACCATTACCATACTTTTTTCTACTTTTACCATACAACACGTTTTGTGAGGGGTTTTTTGGCAGTTAGTGTTAATTTTCAAATTATGTCTTTGTTATAATTGAAAGAAGAATTATCTCTCCAAAACATGTAGCTCGTTCTTTGCCGCAATTTTGAACCCGTATGTGAGAAAATATGTCACACTGGCCGAAAATGTCGAATGGGATGAGCTAATATCCACTTGAACAGCTCCTCCTGACTCTGGATCCCAGACAGATCTGTGGAAACTAAAGCTCGTCTTAAACCTGGTGGACTCAGAGTCAGTCTTCAGAGTCTGCGATACGTTCTGGAAATGGGAGGGAAGTCAACAAAGGCAGAGTCAGAAATCCAAGCATTTAAACTTAATTTAGAAAAAGTAAAGCCTTATAAGGTCCAAGACAAAGAGGGCGTCTGGTCACTCAACTCAGTCCTCCATATTGGAAAGTAAAGGACTCTACTTAAGCAGTTGGAATGGGTTTTATATGTGTTTAACCTCTCCAAATTGGCCTCTGCCTGGTCTCTCCTTGGTCTTCCCCATGTCTGCCCACCCTCTCTCTTCCCCTCAGTCTCCCCCTGTTCTCTCCCCTGGCGTCCCCTCTAATCTCCCCCTGCTCTCCCCCCTGGTCACCCCTCCAGCTGGGTGTTCTTGCTGATGACGTTCTTGAACAGTGTGAGCAGAGGTTTCTGGTCTCTCTCGTCCCAGCTCTTCATGAAGCCTCCGTAGCGTTTGGCCTCTGGAGGACCACTCCAGCGGAAGTGCTTCATTTTGTACGGACTGTTCTTCTTCTGCTGCAGCACCGCATTAAGGCCCGCCCCCTCTGCCTTTGGCCCCGCCTCCGCCGCCACCGAGCGCCTGATCTCACCGGGGAAGACCTCTGCCGAGTCTTCCTCTACACCGTTGGTGTACACCTTTAAGAGAAGAGACCAGGTCTAAAATGGGTCTAAAACAGGTCTAAAGTAGAACTACAGCAGGACTAAAGCAGATCTAAAACACATCTAAAGCTTGACTAAAGCGGGACAAACAAGATCTAAAGCAGGACAAGAAAGGTCTAAATCAGGACTAAAGCAGGATTAAAGAGGGACTAAAGCAAGTCTAAAGCAGGATTAAAGCAGGATTAAAGCAGGTCTAAAGAAGGACTAAAGCAGGACTAAAGTAGGTCTAAAGCAGGACTAAAGCAGGTCTAAAGCAGGACTAAAGTAGGTCTAAAGCAAATCTAATGCAAGACTAAAGCAGGTCTAAAGAAAGTCTAAATTGGGACTGAAGCAGGTCTAAACCCCCTTGTTGGATGACTCCGCCCTCTTCCTAACCAGGCCCTAAACAGGACTCACTTTGACCGGTCTGCGCTTGCGTCCCACTGGTTTTCCCCAGCGGAAATGTTCCATGGAGTACGATCTTTTGGCCTGAGAGGCGGAGTCATCCAGGAAGAGGGCGGAGTCATCCAGCAAGGGGGCGGGGTCTGAGAGAGAGATGGACTGGGTCTGCAAGTGGGCCGGGCCTGGGATGACGGGCGTTTCAGCCGACAAATCAGAGCGACACAACTGGAGGCATTCCTGTGGACAAGACAAGAGCTTAGAACCTAAACCAGGACTGGACCAGGACTGGACCAGGACTGGACCAAGTCTGGATTGGCTCTCACCTCCAGGTCTGAGTCGAGCTCGAGGTCTCTGCAGCTCGGATGGTCCCAGCATTGACTGACAGCTCCTGTAGCTCCGCCCACCACCATCGCCACTAATAGCCATGAAGGACTCATTCTCCGGCTGACCAATCACAGAAGACGTTTCATTATTATGTAAACGCACAGAAACACACACACAAATGCACCTGAGAGAGAGACACCAGAGAGAGAGACACCAGAGAGAGAAACCAGAGAGAGAGACCAGAGAGAGAGACCAGAGAGAGAGACCAGAGAGAGAGACCAGAGAGAGAGACCAGAGAGAGAAACCAGAGAGAGAAACCAGAGAGAGAAACCAGAGAGAGAAACCAGAGAGAGACACCAGAGAGAGACACCAGAGAGAGATACCAGAGAGAGAGACCAGAGAGAGAAACCAGAGAGAGAGACCAGAGAGAGACACCAGAGAGAGAGACCAGAGAGAGAAACCAGAGAGAGACACCAGAGAGAGACACCAGAGAGAGACACCAGAGAGAGACACCAGAGAGAGAGACCAGAGAGAGAGACCAGAGAGAGAGACCAGAGAGAGAGACCAGAGAGAGAGACCAGAGAGAGAAACCAGAGAGAGAAACCAGAGAGAGAAACCAGAGAGAGAAACCAGAGAGAGACACCAGAGAGAGACACCAGAGAGAGATACCAGAGAGAGAGACCAGAGAGAGAAACCAGAGAGAGACACCAGAGAGAGACACCAGAGAGAGAGACCAGAGAGAGAAACCAGAGAGAGACACCAGAGAGAGACACCAGAGAGAGAGACACCAGAGAGAGAAACCAGAGAGAGAAACCAGAGAGAGAGACCAGAGAGAGACACCAGAGAGAGAAACTAGAGAGAGAAACCAGAGAGAGAAACTAGAGAGAGAAACTAGAGAGAGAAACCAGAGAGAGACACCAGAGAGAGACACCAGAGAGAGAAACCAGAGAGAGAAACCAGAGAGAGAAACCAGAGAGAGAGACCAGAGAGAGACACCAGAGAGAGAGACCAGAGAGAGAAACCAGAGAGAGACACCAGAGAGAGACACCAGAGAGAGACACCAGAGAGAGACACCAGAGAGAGACACCAGAGAGAGACATCAGAGAGAGAAACTAGAGAGAGACACCAGAGAGAGAAACCAGAGAGAGACACCAGCGAGAGAGACCAGAGAGACACCAAAGAGACACTTGAGAGAGACCAGAGAGACACCAGAGAGAAAGAGACTAGAGAGACACCAGAGAGAAAGACCAGAGAGAGACACCAAAGAGACACCCGAGAGAGAGAGACACCAGAGGGAGACCAGAGAGATAGACCAGAGAGACACACCCGAGAGAAAGACCAGAGAGATAGACCAGAGAGAGAGACCAGAGAGACACCAAAGAGAGACCCGAGGAAACCAGAGAGAGGGACAACAGAGAGAGAGACCAGAGATACAAAGACTGGAGAGAGATGTATGTGTGTGTGTGTATGTGTGTGTGTGTGTGTGTGTGTGTGGATGCCCAGTCGTTCTGACGTGCTGTAAAAGCCAAAACTTCTTCTACAACATTAAAGTAACTTAAACTCGTGATGAAAGTCAAAGTTTCTCACCACTCGTGCTGCCGCTGCTCCTCTTGGACTGGAACAAAATTACAAATAAATGTATTTTTGAAGATTTCTCTGCGTCTGGTCTGTTTGACGTTTGACTTTGGCTTTTATACAAACGCAAAAAGGACACGACATCACCTGTGATCTCATCGAGGGGGAGGAGCCAAGGGGGGGGATGCAGGGAGGCAAGAGGAAGCATCCAGTATTTCAGAAGGAGACAATAAAACTAAAAAAAAAAAGATATGTGTCAAAAGAACATTTTCTGCAGTTTCCCAGATCATTATTTTGTAATGATTGCATTCATAAAGTAGGAGAGCTTCAAGGGGTAAATAATGTCTCAATTTGAGAAATAGACCAACATACTTTGATGATTTATTAATTAGGTAATCTGTGTGTTTTTAAAAATGCAATAATTCATCCAAACATAGTCCTAAACATTTTTTGTTCTCTACTCTCTCAAGAACTCTTCCATACATTTTTTTTTGAATCCTTTCAATGTCTTTCCAGCTTCTATTGGAACGGAAAATAATAAAATTGGTTTTGTTTGTTGCATTTTAGCCAATTGTCTACTTTGATAAGTTCTTCATTTACAAGTGCTTCTAAGCTGTCCAAGTTTTTGTGTGACAGGAATAGGTTTGTGTCATCGGCAAATAGCACCTTATGAAGGACAATAGATAAATTCATAAAATCATTAACATAAACAATGAAGACAAGTGGCCCCAATATAGAGCCCTGGGGGACTCCATATTTGATATTTTTATGCTGGGATTTGCTGTTTTGTAATTGGACCTAATGCTCCCTCTCAAGTAAATAGCTTCTAAACCACCTGAGAGATTAATGCAATAAACTTGTGGATCTACAATGTCCGGTGCTATAATTTTGACAATTTTCCTACATGCTGGATTATGGAGTCAGGAAGGACAGTAGTTTTTTTTACCGCGGCTGAGCACGATATTCAGTAGTTTCCTTCACCGCTTTTGATCACCACGAGAAGCCTTAAGCTCGGTGTAGTGGGTTCGCTTACTAGCTCGTATTAGCTTTGTTAGCTTGTTCTTATAGATTGCATATTTTGCTTTGTTTTTAATAGTTTGGTTTTTAATGTGTTTTTATAGAGCCTATTTTTTCTTTTAATTGACTTTAAGACTTTAAAGATCCCTTTGAGAGCCATGCCTTCTGTTTAGTCTTTTTTTCTTTAATGGTCCTTTCTGGTATTGTTGAATTAATACTGTTTGTAATTCATTAATAAGAGTATTGTGAGCTTCATCTGGAGTTTCACAGTTATAAACAGAGTCCCATGTTTTATTCTATGGACAATTATTTTTCCATTATTACTTTACATTTTCCTTTGAGAGGAGAATTGTTGCCAGGTTGTTTACCCGACTTATCCAGATCTATGAAGAGTACAACTGGGAAGTGGTCAGTAAAGTCTGTCATAATTACACCTGAGTCAAAACGAGCATTTTCAATATTTGTTAAAATGTTATCTATGGTGTACGAGTTTATTGTTGGGAAGAAAGATGAAGACAAAAGACAATTAAGGAAGTCTTTTTTTATGCCACTATTTTTGGCCAGGTCGATGTTTAAGTCCCCAAGAATAAAACAGTTTTTGTTGAAGCCATTGATGCAGTTTAATAAGTCCTCTAGTTTATTCATGAAAAAACCTGGGTCGGAGTATTCCTACAATTATATTATCTCTATGAATACAGAATAAATAATATCTCTCTTTGGCATCTGGTCTCTTTCTAGTCTCTCTCTCCTGTACTTTTTTTCTCACTGTGTTTGAACCGTCAGGATGTATTATATCGGTGTGAAAAGCATTGGGGTGAGTACAGACCCCTGTGGGACTCCTTCAGGGATGGGTCTGCTTTGAGATATGTCACAAAGAAAACAGGTTGACTTTAATGTAAGAAAGAGCCCTGCGAGTCACTATCTGCCTCTTTGGGCAGCTTAGTGACCACCCTCACTTCGCCGTGGTCCTCTCTTTGATCTAAAGATGTGACATCACAAATACAGGATGTGAAAATAGTGAACTTTTAGAGCCAGTTTTAGAGCCAGGACTTAATACAGAGTTCTAATGGTCTGAGAGTTACAGACCCCAGCTTTAATGTTATGTATTGCGTGTGCCTGTGTGTGTGTGTGTGTGTGTGTGCGTGTGCGTGTGCGTGTGCATGTGCGTGTGTGTGGTGTGTGTGTGTGTGTGTGTGTGCGTGTGTGTGCGTGTGCGTGTGTGTGGTGTGTGTGTGTGTGTGTTTGTAAAGGTCAGTGCTGATTGTGGAGGATTGGCACCCTTGTGTTTGAGCGTCATTTACAGGTGTCCTCACAAATACCTTGTCCAGACCTGGTCCTGGATTAGACCCGGATTAGACCTGGATCAGTGTCTGTCTTTGGGTTTGTGTTGGTGAAAGGACTGGAGGAAACATGGAGGATGGAGATTTCATGCTGACGACAGAGAGGCAGATGTATCAGGTCACATGTCCACAAACCTCAGCCTCATGTTTTCACTGTTCCTCGGGGGCGCTGTCAAAGGCCTCACCGAGAGAAACCGGAGCAACAGGAGCATCAGATTCAGATTCAGATTCATTTATTTGCCATTTGCAGTAAAACCACATTGGAATTCATTAGCAAAAGTCCCCAGTGTGCACAAGTACAGAAATAAAACAACATTAAAAGTACAGAAAAAAAAATAAAACAAATAAAACAGTAATACAATTGTCACTGTGAAAACGATCGGCTAAAACAATTTCAATACAAAGTGCAAGATCATTAAAGTGCTCTGTTCAACGCTTCGAGGAGAGGCTGATATGTCTTACTGTATCTTTTCATTTCGCCTCAAACCCCGTCTGAATCAATGCTGTGCTGTTGGTCGCTGTTTCCAGTGGTGTCTGTTGGGCTAATGCTGTTGGGCTAATGCTGTTGGGCTAATGCTGTTGGGCTAATGCTGTTGGGCTAATGCTGCTGGATTTTTAAAATGCTGGTTGTTTGGGTCCTTTCTGCTGGCGTCAGAGCCTGCACTAACTTTAGCCAATCAGGGCCCAGTAAACCTCAAGTCCCACCAGGGCCCAACGGAGTCCCTAGCATGGAGGAGGGATTCTGTTGGGACCCGTAAAAGTTCTTGTAAATGGCCCTGTGGGGAAGGTTCCTGCAGTGGAGAACACGCACGGACGGGGCTAGGCCTGGAAAATTACACCAAAGTTCCTGCGGTGGAAACGCGGCTATATATGTTCAGTAGAAACACTTCAACCTTTATATGGGTTTTAGGATCAGTTTAGTCCTGGTTTAGTCCTGGTTTAGTCCTGCTTTAGTCCTGCTTTAGTCCTGCTTTAGTCCTGCTTTAGTCCCTGTTTAGACCTGCTTTAGTATCACTTTAGACCTGCTTTAGAGAATCAGAATCAGAATAATTTTGATTGTCATGTAAGTAACAGGAAGTCATAGACTAGGAAATTGCTTTGGCTCGGTGCAACAGTCAGAAAAGAGAGGTAAAGAATAGGCATAATAAAAATCAACATACACTTCTAAGGTATAACATTTAAAATAGAATTATTACGATTACAATCGCTATATACCATGTAGACCATGCGTTAGACCTGCTTTAAACTTGCTTTCGACCTGCCTTTAGACCAGCTTTAGACCTGGTTCGATAGCCTTATCATTGTGCTCAGACTTGTTGTTTGTTGATTTTGTCGGATGTTGTTGAGGCCTAATGGACCAAACCGGTGAATCTCAAACCTCCATTAGACTGTGGCCTTGAATCGCCATTAGCAACGCATCCATCCCATAACAACCTCCAACCCTGTACTCTGCGCAGCCTTGGACCACGGCCCCAAAACCAGACATCAGCTGCAGACATCTACCATACTGTTCCTCAGAGACCTGAACATGTGTTTGGACCCATTTATGAGTAATATTAAAGCTTTACATTCAAAGAGCAGGTCAAAAGCAGGTAAAAGCAGGTCTAAAGCAGGTCAAAAGCAGGTCAAAAGCAGGTCTAAAGCCAGTCTAAAGTATGGTCTAAAGCAGGACGAAAGCAGGACTAAATGAGATTGAAAGCAGGACTAAAGCAGGACTAAAGCAGGACTAAATGAGATTGAAAGCAGGACTAAAGCAGGACTAAAGCAGGACTAAATGAGATTGAAAGCAGGACTAAAGCAGGACTAAAGCAGGACTAAAGCAGATCCCGCAGACCTGCCTATGGCCTCTCAACATCAACCACAGGTAAACACTCCTCCTACTGTGTATTGATGGTTCACTCTGACGGTTCACGCACGAGAAAACATGCCTAAAAACTTTTTCCAGACTGTACAAACTGAACACGCACCATCAAGCACTCGTGGCTTCAAAACTGAAATGGATCAAACTTTTTCAAACTGTCAATCATGCAAGCGTGCTCTGGAACTCTGACACAAAACCAAAAGGTATCTTCGGAGGACAGCTAAATACAAAGAAAGAGGAATCGAACACCTTTTATCGGACTCTAACCTGGACTTTTTATGTCAAAGTTAAACCTGGTTATGTGCCACTTCACCCCTGTCTGTATTTTCTTTCCAAGGCTACAATGTTTATAGACGGGATAGAGAAAGGGGAAAGAGAGGAGGTGTTCTGATTTATGTTAAAGTTATTATCCAAAGTAAGGAGATAGACCTCACCAAACATAAATTAGAATGTGCAGGAGTCACTGTCACTCTCTCTACAGAAATGTCATTTGTTATCATTGCTCTCCATTGTCAACCTAGAGCCAGAATGATTTTTACTCTAAGTCTAAACTGTTTGAAATGCTTAAAATGTTTGATGGCAAAGACATTTTACTCATGGGAGACTTCAATATAAATTGGAATGATGCAGCATGCAAGACAAAACTTAAGGATATGATGAAAACATATCAGAAGACCCGAATGATAAATGAACCAACAAGAGTAACTAAAACGTCTCAAACATTATTCAATCTTATTTTTACAAATAAACCCACGCTTAGAAAATGATATAGACCAAACCAACTGGAAGAACATCATGTGGTGAGTTAACGTTGACCGTCCAAAAATGAACAAAAAGGAAAAAAAGGAATCCGACACAGAAGCAGAGTCTGTCTTAGTGTAACGCTGAACTTAGGAAATGAATGAAGAAAAGACATGCTGCTTTGAAATAAATTATAAAAGACAAATGATCAACCACCTGGTCTACAAAAGCCTTCAAAATACACAAACG